TTAATCAAGGGTTGCTCTAGGGGTGTTCACTTTCTTCTTACAGTTTGCACATGACCCATCACAGCCTAGAATCTCAGTGGACAGAGAAGCTTGGGGCAGAAAGCAAGGGATGGGCGGCACAGCTGAGGTGTGTCACTTTGTGGAAGGTTATATCCATGGCGCAGCTGGTTGCCACAGCCATTTGAGCAAAGTGTTGGGCCAAGGGGTTGGAAAGGTGTTTGACATACTCTCTCTACTTCAGTACACACATTGATCACATAAGGTATTTGCTTCACATTTGTGTAGGTAAATGTTCTGTCATTAGCACTGAGTTGTTGAGGAGGTTCAATGAGATGTGTGTGAAAGTGCTCTGAAAAATATAAATCATGTAGAGTATAGCACTACACATGCTATATGGAGATCTCCAAAGCTGAAGGTCAAAGAGCGGTTGAACAATTTTTTTAACCCATCAGTCTGTAGGTACTTTTGAAATCAACACCGCTATCATCTCACTATTATCGTGTAAGTCGTGAACCTTCATGACTTCTTGCTGTGTGCCATCAGTTTTGACGTTCCAACCAAATTTTGGGTAAGGGTTTATTCTCTTTCTTCAAAGTGATTACAGCACAGAGAAATCTGGGTTTTCAGTGGAAAAAAATCACCTTAAGACCTCAACAGGGCATACTTGACTGAATTCCAAACTGAGTGTTGATGTGACCCTGTGGATCGGAAAGTCCAAGTGGTTCACCTGCCCTGTGCCTAGTCATTTGGCTTCCTGCTCTCTTGGACACTTAGCCCTGTAATATTCTAAGGTAAAAATGAAATAGAAGGGAATAAAATTCATGCTGAGTAGGTTCAAATTGGAACCAGTTTGCCACTTTCTGCCTTTAGTGGAAGCCGATCTGTGTTCTACTTTCAGAACTAAATACAGTTATGAGATGTTGAATTTTCAGTGTTGTCTTTCTCCTTTGTAGTTGAATCCTCACTCCTGCCCTTACCCACTGTGGGATGTTGGTCACATCATTTAACCTCTTTCGGCTTTAATTTTCACCTGCAAAATTGAGATAATGTTAATATTAAATCCCATGAACTATGATGAGGATGACTTCAATGTGTTTGGAAGAGTTCCTGGAGCATTCTAATTCATGTTAGCTGTTCATATTATTGTTATTATCATTATTGGTTTTGACAAACATCTATAGCTTTATTTTTTGAGTGTTTAAATGTAATGGTTATTTCTATTAATTCAATTTAATGATGAGCTGCTCTAATAACATTTTATATGAAATATAAAGGCTCTTAGAATCATCTTGATGTCCTGACTGAGAGATGAGTTTAAATGCTTTTGACCCTCTGAGGTGCCCTCTGACATCAGGAAAGCACACAGCCTTTCTAAAGTTGATTTTCTAAACAGAAAATTGATAGCCCTGTCCATAACTGATATAGAAACAATTTGAGAATGTCAAGGAACTCAGAAAGAGTAATGATTTTGGTGATGATGCTGAGTACTGATGGAGGTTGCTTTCCCCGCAGAGAGCTCCATGTGCCTTGTGGTCCTGTTGCATGTCCTTCACATGCACCTGTGAAGGAGATTTGGGCTCACACCGTGTCTGTGTAGCAGACCTCTGTCTCACAGATTTATAGAAAAGAATGTAAGTGTAGCCCAGTGTAATAGAGTCTGACTCCATTTTTTTTTTTTTTGATGTTTGCTGGCATCCTAAGCCTCATCCCTCCCCGCTCCTCTTCTGCCCCACTTCTGGGAAATCTGATAAGAAAGTCTGAGTGCTTCCACCTTTGATGTTGGTGGGAAGTTCAAACCACACAAGCCGCTGCCTGGGCACAGAGGCCCTCATGCCATCCTCACCCTCTTACCACCATAAAAACCTCCACGCCATTCTTCCTCAGCTCTTGCAAGCCATTTTCAGACCAGCTTGAGGAGAATGCCCTGCCTTCCCCACAAAGCCTCATCATGTAGGTAGTAAACCTTTCATATACCCTTTTCCTGTGGGTGATCAGTCTTGACATTCTAACCACATTTGAGGTGGGGGTGGGGGGGATCTACTTTGTTTCTCCAGAGTGGTTCCAACACTCAGATACTGTCTTGTACTTATAGGGACCCGGGTTCCTTGGAGAAGTGAGTCCAGGTCCAGGACAAGGACAATACAAGGTAAGTCTGGGATATTTTGTCATGCATGCCCTAAAGCAAGGAAGTGCTCCAAGACTAGTGGGGTCATGTGAAAAGAATTACAGAAGCCTGGAGGAAGGGGCTTCTACTTGTCAAAATGGGACAATTTGAGCATTGAAAAGAGTAATGATGGTAATAGATTATATCACATTGAATATAAATCTATCATGATAGAAGAGGGCAAGGAGGAGGGAGAGAAGAAATAAAGAGGGAAGCTCTTTTTCAAGAACATTATTCACTAACAAATGTAGAAAAAGGAGAGAATTTTTTTTTAAATCACCATTTTGCAGATGAATATGTCAAACAAAGCATCAAAGAATACTAAAATTTTTGAGTGAAATGTTGGGCTAACAAGATATTCACATGAGATCAAAATATTATCCCATGGGTTATATGGTTTAATTGCCAAGGAAAATTAATCTTTCAATTAGATATGTGATACAGTAGGAGGTATACAGCATTGTCTCTGTGCTGTGCCAAAACATTTGACCTGATTCTAGTGGTGAAGAACAATTAAATACAGGATGTGGGACATGATACAGGACAACTGTCCTGAATTTTTCAATATTATGAAAACAGAAACAGAAACAGAAAGACTGCTCTTCTGGAAGAGATGAAAGAAATTAAAAAGACACAACCAAATGCGATGTGAACCTTGATTTGGTCCTAGGCTGAAAAAGTAAAACAATTTTAAAAGACAATTTTGGTCAATTGAGGAAATCTGAAGATAGGTATATGAAAGTGACACTGTGGTTATATAGGAGTACACTCATTCTTGGAAGATGTGTGATATTTAGGGATGAACTGTCATGGTGTCTGTAAAACATACAAGAATGACAAAATGTTAATATTTTGATGAATCTAGATGAATGGTATTTATCATTCTCTTCTTTCAACATTTTTGTAGGTCTTAAAATTTTTAAATAAAAAACTTCAGGTTAAAAAAAAATTTCAGGTTAAAAGCCCAAGTGAACAGCAATAGGAACAAAAGAACTTCAGAGGAGTGCTAAGACCACCACAATTCCTGTTACTTCCTCTGAAAGCTTAGTAGATTTGAACAGAGTGTAATGTCTGTACGTGGAAATTATTCTCAATGTAGAAAATAAATAGCAATTATTACTGTGTTAAAACACCTGCATGGCAACACATGTTCATAAATCAACGCTATAGTCCCCTATCTAGAGCATCTATTTGAATCACTTCGCTCCGAAAGCAGAGTAAATATGTGCTCTCCGCCAACAAGGACAAATTGACAGCTGACTTGGAGATCAAAAGATTTATGGTTGCTGCAAATCCCCTTATTGTGGGACCTCGTTAATACCAGATTTGATCTGAGAGCATCATACTTGAACTGCAAATGAACCCTGACTTCTGTGATTGGAGAGCCACTGGCAAGACTCACCTGTGATTAACATCTCTCTGCTCGAATAAGGATGACTGCTTGAGGATGACATTTCCAACTTGTTCCACTGGTGTTATTATGTCTGAAAACAGCAGTAATTCCTCATCCTGCTCCTGGGCCCCGAAAAAAATAATTGGCTTGCTCATTATCTTTTAGGAGCCTGGAGGAATTTATCCTATTAAGATGGTGGGCAAATGAGTAGTTACTCAGCTCTCTCTGACTTTGTAATGCCTTCTCACAACTTGTTATTGTGCTGCCCTTTGCTGAATCTTTTTCCCTTTCTATAGTACCTTTTTTTTTTTAAAGATGACAACTTCTTTTTCTTTTCCTCTGCTGAAAGACTCTGTATGCTGAGAGATTGCCAGTCAGTGTAGTATTATGAACTCAGGGTACAATGCAATTGTAAGAGAATTTTCCAGCATTACATATTCCATCCTCAGCAGATGTGAGATATAACTATCATAATCATACTGCATGTTTTTTCACATTTGTAACAGCATTTTTTGTTACCTTTTTGTTTTCTTAAATGTTCCTCGGATTTCAGTTTTTGTTTTACCACAAATCTTTTCTCCATGGTAGAGAACACAGATTGCATAAAAATGAAAAACCTTGGGCCAGTTTAATGGATACACTGAATTTAAGGAATATGAGTTTTGGTAAAAGTGAAACTTCCTTATAAAATAACTATTTGTCTCTGGAAACTGGAAACTTCCTGTTGAATGCATACTTTCAAAACGAAAACAGATTATCATCTCAGTATCATATGAGTGTTTCCAGATATCTAAAAGAGAAAAGGCTGCAATCAGATTCAGATGACACAAGTTTGAATTTTGATGTTGCCACCAGCTCTGTGTGTAGCCTTTGAACAATCTGTCAGGCTTTTTTGAACCAGTTTTGTGAAATGGGTACAATAATCACCAGTACACATGGATATTGTGAGGTTAAATCATTATCATGATGACATCTGTCAGTGAGCCTGGAAGTATTAGGTATCCAATACATGTTGGCTGAATTTGAATCTACTGAGAATCCCTAACATCCAAGCAGTTTAATATGGAAAGGACATTCACACCCTGACAAACTAGCTAAATAACTCATTTGACGTTTACCTAACAGGAAGTCTGGAGGTAGGTGCTGCTGTTCTTGGTTCAAGGGTTCAATAATATCAGGGTCCAGCAGCAACGCTCTAGGTCACCTGGCCTTCCCTGAATAGTCATCACAAGATGACGGCCACATCTCCCATCATCAAATCTGTGATTGTGGCAAGAAGAGGATCAGTGGCTCATGTTTGTCCCTTTGATCGTGAAACAAAGATTTTCCAGAAGCCCAGGTCAACTTCTGCTTCCACTTCTCTGGCCAGGACTGCATCACGTGTCCTGCTCTGGGTGGGATGGAAACTGGAAAGGGAGAGCTTAGCTTTCCGAGCCTCTGCTGTAGCACGGAGCAAGGGAGGAGAGGGAAACAGGACTGGCGTTAACCCTGAGCAGCAGGCACTATTTCTTTGTTATCTGAGGCACTGGCGGGGCATTTGAAGAGCTTGGGCTTTAGATGGTCTTGATCGGCTTTGCCAGTTACCACCTGGTGACCTTGAAAGTTTACTTGATATCTCTGAACCTCAGCTTCCTTATTTACATTAAAAGGTTAATAATAATCATCTTTCAGGGTTGTTTTAAAGATTATAATATATAATATACATAGTGGACACTGGATATATCCCAACTGTTGCACAGGACATGCTTATACTAAAATAATATCCATTGTTTATCTGTAATTTTAATTGATTAGTTAAATGGAGTACTGGGGATTGAACCCAGGACCTCGTGCATGCTAACTAAGCAGGCACTCTACCACTGAGCTATACCCACCCTCCTGAACCTGAAATTTAACTGGACATCCTGTGTATTTATTTGCTGAATCTGGCAACCTTGCCATAAGCAGATCTTAAAAGCTGCTTAGATCAGTTACAGGATCCTGCTATGTCCTCCAGAGTCCAAAGAGAAAGCAAGGCCCCTGAGATGTCATGATTTTGTGTTTCTCTCTTGTCCCCAAGAACAAATTGTTCTTCCTTCCTGGATCAAAGGGTGGCAGAAATAATACCTTCTGTAGGTAGTTATCCCATTAGCTAATGAATAATGAATTCTTTGCAATAATCGGTTTTATTTTTTTGTGAACATCTAGATAGTGAAATGACCTGGAGGATAGGGGTAGGGAGACACAAAGTTTCTGCTACAGAAAATTATACAAGATTTCAGGCACTAGAACTGGATTTTTGACAGGGATCCACCACTAGTGTTGTAACTTTGTACGATGAGCTTATCCTTTGTATGTTTATTTTCTTTAATATATAATAGGCGTAGCAATTAACTCATAAAATTTTAGTGGGTATCAAATGAGGTCATTTATGTGAAAGCACACTATAAATATCAATTTTTATTAAGAGTTAGAAGCTAAAACTAGGATCAACCTCAAGGGAAGTATTTGTAAAACTAGGGCTAATTTTGGCATTTGATAATTTTCTAGGAATTTACCCACTTATCTTTCAAAATTTATTAATGTATAGTATCTAGCTATTCATCAATTGCTGATATTATAATTGTCTACCTAAAGAACTAGTAGAATCCAGCGACAATCTATTAGGACCAATATAAGAGTTTAGAAAAGTTGCTGAATACAATATCAACTTACAAAATCAAAAATGTTTCTGTATACTAGCAATCAGAAAACTCCAGAAAAATAATATTCCATTTGTGATTGCTATAAAACTAAAAGTATCTAAGAGTTAAAATAGTCTAGAATATGTAAAATGTTTATGAAGAAACTTGCCCAACTCTACTTTTCAAAAAGTTAAAATGATGACATTCATGCAAATATAAAATCAACATGTGTCAAAGACTTAAAACTAATTCATTAACAAGGGAGCCAATAAGGTGTTATGGGTAACTTCAAAGAGCACTTAAGAAGCCAGGGATTTATAGGCAATTTAACAGAGAAATATTAGGATTGCTAAATTAGTTATAAAACTAATGTCCCACAGGCAAACCATAAATCTTTGGTGTTACTGCTTCCATTAGACACAAAATTATTTGCATCTAGTGGACAAAATTCTAGAAGTTTACATGTAACCTCACTAAGTATGAGACCTATTAATAGTAAACAATGACATAAACTGAATACATTTTATAGCAATCCTTTTGTGGCCTTTGCCCCCACATGATATTCAAAGGATGTGCCACCCACCTTTTTTGGCCTTATTTCCAAGTTTCAAATCATTTTCCTGACACACTTTAAAATCTGAGTGAAGGACACGAAAGATGATATGAATAAATGGAGTGCTATTTCATGTTCTTGGATGGGATGAATTCATATTATTAAGATACAAGTTCTCTTTAATTCAGCAGATGAATGCAGTGCAATTTCCATTACAATTCCAGTTAGGTATTTTAGAGAAACTGCTAGATGTGCACTAAAATTCGTAGAGAGAAATAAAAGTTTATGGCTGTCTGTTGCTTAAAGTCATAAAGGTGAAGCACTTGCCCTGTCAGATACTAAGACATACTACAAGGCCAGAGTAATAAAAGCAATGTGCTATTGGTGTAAGACCACAGAAACAGCTAAGTGGAAGAAAATAATGCACTCAGAATGAGGCTCACATAACCATGCGACTTCAATAAACTTTAAAGGAATTACCACAAATCAGTAGAAACTGTTGAGTTGAAGTTTTTTTGGAAAATTATCTTACTGTATGGAGAAAAATTAAATTGGATCTCTACCTAAGCCTACATATAGTATGACCTCCAATGGATTAAAGATGTAAGTTGGAAGGGAAAAAACATACAGCTGATAGAAAAGAAGTTATGAGATAACCTTGCCGATCTAGGAATGGGGAAACACTTCAAAAAATTTCAAAAGGAAAAACAATAAAGCAAAAGATTGATAAATACAATCATATAAAAATTAAGGCTTTTCCCCCCTCAACACCCTGTGTAACTAAGATAGGAGTATTTCCTTCCATGTAAATGATGCCCCAATAAAGATAACAATGAAATATTGTGGGAATCTGCACTTTGGATTGATTTGTACTAGCAAGGTAGTTACTTGTATGTATATCTATGTAAAATCTGCAGATACAGACTCTTGGGGAAGACCCACTGGGAACCTGATGGAGATGGAAATGATGGAAAGAGACTGAGAAACAGCTCCTACTGCTCCACCCTATTGCAGCCCTCCCTCCCTGAGCAAGAAAGATTTTTCATGTACACAAACCAAGTAAGTTGGGGGAAGTATGCACCTTAAAGAATCCAGGAGATGAAATGACCTCTCCATAACTCTGGGAGACTTTCTACCTTCATTCTTTCGGCACATGTTCATGGCACTAACCCTGGTCCAGTCATTGTTGTAGTTGTGGGGAGAGAGCATCAAGCAAACCTGATCCACCCTCTCTACCTGAGCAGCTGTCACTCTGTCTCCAGCACCCTCGGGGAGACTTCAGGCAGGGAGAGGACCACAGGGGAAGATCCCCATGGTTGTGAAGTTAGGAAAGAAGAAATAATCTGTGGAAGCATCGACGCACTCAGGAAAACAAAGGCATTTCACTCATGAAGAATACTATGGGCCGAATTAGTAGACGACTAAATGGGAGTGGGTGGTTTCAGTGTCTGAAATTGGCAAGGGATTAATAATTAGCAGGGAATTTCTGTATACTGACAAGTCAGTTACTGCAGTGGGAAAATAGGTGAAGAATATGAACAAGCAATTTATAGAAAAGAAAACTCTCAGAACCAAGTACCCAAAGGCATGGTGAAGATAACAATCTGAGAAATTCAGCTTAGATTAACAATATTAAACTGGCAAAAATTAGAAGGCTGTAAAGTGCTGAGTGTTGTCAGGGAAGCACGTATGCAGAAAGCTTCACGGGGGAGTAGATTGGCACAGCCGTTCTGAGGAACAGCCTGGTGTGATGTAGGCAAAGTAAGTATATGTATATACTATGATGCAGCAACCCTGCTGCCAAGAATTTATCCCAAAGAAAATTTCAAACATGGAGTTTTTATAGCATGAAATATATGAAGATATTTATTGCAGTGATGGTTACAGTGGTGGGAGTTGGCGGCAGCTTGGGTGGAGTAAATAAGCAAGACTTATAGAATATAGACGATGGGTGATTAAGCAGCCTTAGGAGGAACCTATCTGATGTACACAGAGAAATAAGATTGGATCTTCAGAAGATAGTACTTAGACCAAAAAGTAAAAAGCCAAGTGAGATGTTCCTTATAAAGATTTACATAGTTTAAAATAAATGCCAATAAAATCACTCAACACGTTTTAAAGCACTTTAAAATAAAAAGAAATAAACACAACAGAATGATTACCTTGGAACAAATACATATTAAAATTAGAGAGCCTCATATGGACCAATGATTATAATGTGTCTTGAACTGAGAAGTATTACCCATTTTGCCTTGTTTATCTGATGAACAACTAATAAGATAAAATGAAACAGAGTGCATGGGAAGAACCTAAGCATTTGTGGTGATTGAAAAGGTATGTCCTGCTTACTCCTTGTCTCTGTTTAAATATACTGCCATGATCGCTTCTCGGGTGTGGCCCATCTGGGAGGCTGCCGTGGGCTGATTCAGGGTTTCACCTTCTTTAAGCTCACAGACCAGCAAGGAAAATCCAGAAAGAAGAAACACAGGCAAAATCAAAAGAGTTCTGGTCTCTACTTTTATGCATACTGTTAAAAATGCTGCAAAAGTTTTGAATATTGTCTTTGCTAGGAAGTACCCCAATGTGTCTGCATTTCCTCCCCTATTTATTTAGTGAATCGTTTTCATCTTTTATAACAGCTTATGCGTCTACAGTTTTCTAGTATGCATATCTCTTTGATGGTACATTGTTTTATCTTCATTACAACTCAACTGGAGATCCTGTCTTTTGCAGCTGAGAAAACAAAGACTTGAGAGACCAAATAACTTTCAAAATATCACATTTCTGGGAAGTGATGGAAACAGAACTGAACATCAGGTCTCCTGGCTTCAAACCACATGTTTTAATCTAATACTTCAGGCTGCTTTAATGCAAGGAACTCTTTATTTCTAACTGAATTTCAAATAATTGAAGAAAAATTAATGAAGTCCTTATAGAGCTTTTGATTGCTAAATATGTGGAAATTAACTAAGAATTATTTGGTGAAGAGTCAGTTGATATGACAACCAGGGAAAGGCAATTTTCAGGTGGAAGTGTGAAAAGCAGTGATAAATAATATCATTCCCTGGTCATCCACTATTTGGAAACTATAATGCATTTTATAATAAATTTTGAATTTCAAGGAATTTCAATTTGTCCAAATATATTAAGCTATGACTTGAAAATATTCTATAGTGTCATCCCAGATGCAATTTCCAAACAAGAAATATTTATGGCATTAAACTTCTCAAAATCGGAAAATTTTTTAGGCATGTATGTAATTCAGTTTTGCAAAATAACAGGTATACAGAACTTACACTCTTGAAGAAAAAGCAACAAGCATCTGCTGTAAAGTGTCTGCTGGGTTTCCTCCAAGTGTCCCGTGAGAGATGAGACTGTCACCTCTCTCTCCTGAACCACACGATGTCTACAGCCTCCCAGTGCTCACTTGACACACAATTATCAGAGAGATCTGATTAGAGTTCTCTTACACACTCCTTCCACATTTGCTTTCAGAACGAAGACATAAATATTGCCTTGTCTAGCCCCATCTACCTTTCAAAACTAATTTCCAGCAGTTCTCCCCAACTCTAACCTTCAACTCAAGTAAATACACAGTCCTCCCACCTCCTCCAACTTGCTATGTTCCCTCTCATCACAGCCCTCTGCGTATGTGCTTTTTCTGACTGGAATGTTCTGTAATGCTCTTCAACTCCCTTCATTGGTTTAACTCTTATTCCTTCCTCAGACCTCAAGTCAGAAATCATTTCCTGAAGAAGTCTTCTGGGTCCACGTTTCAAGTCAAGTCCTGTTGATACCAGCTCTCGGAGAACCAGATCTCTCTCCTTCAGATCACTTATGCGGTTTGTAGTTAAACATTTATTAATGTGATCATTTGCTTAATTTTTGTCCTATCTCCCAACAAACTAAAAATCCCCAAAGAATTTGTTTCTTAACATGTTGTTTTAATTTTTTCTCATCATTTTCTCACCCTGTATCTAATGCCCTATTGTTTTTGGGCGGCGTTGGTCATTTATTTTGACTCTTCAGCACCTTTTTCTTTCTTGTATTTGGGGAATTCTTGACCTTCTGAGCCCAGGACCTTCCTTGCCAGCCATCATACTTTGCAGTCAAGCACAAACACATCCCAGGCTGTGACATCCAGCCTTCCAGAGACGCAGTCTAAAAGACTCTAGGAGTTGTCTCTGGTACCTGGAACCACCAGTGGAAACTGTGGTGTTGTGTCTTGTTGTGGCCTGGTGCTGGCAGAGTCTTGTGTCTTATTTTGGAGATTGTTCCTGGAAGAATGGGCATCAAGCTGGCTTCTGGGCCTTTCCCAGAGATTCGGAAACTTACATCCTTTTAATAAAATATTTTTCTACTTTAATGAACTAGAGCAATTTCTTTGGTTTTCAACTCAGGTAAGAACCTCAAAATGAATGAGTGAATAATGGAATCTCTTTGCTGCCAACCCAGATTGGATGTTTTATTGTTTAAGATGTTCTATGAAGTTATTGCAAAAGGGACTTGAATTATAGAAATGATCTGAGTGTTGTCTAGAGGCTTGTCAAGGCCCAGTATACTTCAGCTGTAGGAGGCTACAAAAATGTTCTTGGTTTCCTGTACATATATCCATTACCTTCCTAATATCTATTGCTAAAAATCTTCTGACAAGTAGTTTGGAGTTCTGTGTAACCAGTTTCAGAATAATTCAGCTCTTAATGCTTTCTCTTTGTTATTTTACTGTACATTGCTAAGTTGAAAGAAAAATGTTAGGTATTTTTGTGTCAGATTTGTGAGCACGTCATCCACTGTTCTATGCTTAGAGAAGATATTTCAAATTACACAAATTGAAAAAAAGATGTATATATGCCATGATTCTGTGAATCGTACAGAAAAGATTCTGTGAAGATACGTGTTTTATAAGATGAGAATAATCATGAATGCATATTTTTCTGGTAATGAACTTTGGAATCCTGGATGAAAGGTCTGGAAGAGCATGAAATATAGTAGAGCTTGCTTTTGTTAAATATGTTAATCCGGGTAACAGAAACAGTGACCTAACAGCTGAACTGGCCTTCCCTTGAACCACCTACCAATAGACCCACCTAACATTCACTTATAACAAAGACTTTCAAGCTCACATGTCACTGAGTCACAAAAATGTGAAACATAACTGCTGAAGACAATTGAGAGTCATGGAAACTGGGAACGAAAGGAGCATTCATGCTGTTAAAAAATAAACTGAAGCATATTAAAATTTTTGAGCTTATTTGAGCAAAATTGATTCAAATTGGGCAGTGCCAAACCAGAAATGGTTAGGAAAGATCCACCAATAAGAGCTTTGGGAGAAGCTTTTATAGAGAAAAGGCAGAAGCAAGGTAAGGAAATAATTTTTTTGGCATAGCCTAAAGCCTACCTGGTTGTTTGTGATTAGTTGTCCTTACTGTTTTGATTTGTAATCTTGAGCCAAGGAAGATGAAGGCCAGTCTTTGTTCTTAGTGATTTCAAATTAGAAGACTGGGAGAAAATTGAAAATGTTAGTTTGGAGAGTTGTAGCCAAATACTTGTGGAAACTAGAATTCAGGATCCAGTTTGGTTTACTGATACGTATTATAGCACCTCAAAGACAATGCACAGGACCAGAATCTGTATCTACAAGGCTGTGTAATAATTTTCTACTGAAACATAATTTTTTCTCTGTAACTACCCTCATTTCTATCAAAGATAATCATAGAACTAATTTGTTTACACAAGTCTAATCTTATTAAACTTGGCCCCATTAATTACATATGTGCAGCAAGAATAGTGATTGACTGTATCAGCGCTCTTAAAATATGCTTTGCTAGAACTTTTCACAGGAATCTTAGATTGGATTTTTAAAACTTCTCCAGGCTAAGAAGCCAGGCCAAGAATTCACCATCAGACTTCGCCTGTAATACCTATCAATTTGGATGAATTCCTCTCTTCTTCAGGTCCCCGAGATTTCCTAAGGTTCCTGGGCCAGCTACAAAGTGACTTTCTTAACTCACCTGATAAGGCTGCTGGGAACCCAGTAAGCAAGGTAACAGGCTAACTTTTTTCAAGGGACTTTTATTTGTTCCATATAGTCAAACTTAGTTCTGTAAAGTTGGTCACATCTGATTTTATGTATATTCTCAAGTATGACATTTCAGTCAAAGCCTTGCTGATATAACCAGTGTTTTCAATTGTGTCCTGTTACATGGAGAACAGATTATTATTGAACTTATGCAAATAACTATATTACCATGAAAATAAGAAAAGAGTTTCTGAGCGTTCTGAATTCTGAATTCTGGAGGGATCAGGTAGGAAGAAAGAGATAATTATTTCATCTTTGTTTACAAAGGTATATTTTACCAAATTGCTAATAGATTAAGAGAAAAAAGAAAAAGATTTCCTTAAATCTGGTAAAACAAAACATTAAAGAATTAACAATATTTCAAATAAAATCATAAAAATTATAATCATCCTCCTGAGTTCATTTAGTCCCATGTAGTTAAGTCTTAAGCTTGATCTTAGTTGATATTAATCTTTTGTTACCTGTTTTATAAAACCATCAGTTTCTCCATTAAAGTTCTGCAGATTCTTATCCAGTTCGGTGGTATGATCTGAAAGTTATCAGAAACTTACTAGAGTATTTTCCATGAGTCTCCTTGAAGATAAAATGCTTTTACAAGAATACTTTTACAAAAGCATCAGAGTAAGATAATAACTGTCTATAAATGGCAAAGGACTTTAAAATGGCCATAGTTAAAGATCTGAGAGTTCATTATAATGGAATTGACAAGGAAATCTGGTTATTTCTGTGACATACAATATTTTAAGATAATAACTAGGATAACAACTAATAACAGTAAACTAGGACATATCAGACTTCGAGGAATTTTATACAATTTCTGGAATACTTACATTAATAACATATATCCACATATTATAATCTAAAGGAGGTTTAGCATCACTTCCTGTTTCCCATGTGATTTAACATATCAAATAAATCTAATTAGTTTAATATCTCTCTTTTTATAAGGAGAGAGGACAAATCTTTTGAGATGTTCAGAGACCCTGTGGAAAATCCCAGAGTTTGTTCAAAGGCAAAAAGTCCTCATTTAGAATTTATTTTTTTGGAAATCAGTGAAAAAAAAATCCACTTAACCAAAGTGGCAATTAAAGACTTTGAAGGCAAATACAGAAAGTTACATAATTGTAAAACTTAAGCTCTTTTTATATTGAGTAGACTGGGTTTTCTTAAGTATTAAAAGACTTGATAAAGACAATACAAAGCACAAAAAGTAATTTTGCTGTAAATACAGAATCTTTGCTTTTTAGGTAGAGTACTTAAAAGGGAAAGAAAAACTTTTCACAGTCTTATTAAGAGAAGGCAAATATTCCAAAATAACTTTGTCCTTGTAGTAGATGAAAGAAAATTGTTTTACACTATTAATTAAAGCTTATTAAAAAAACCCTTATAATAAATTCATTTCATTTTAAGCCAGCTTGACTATACAAAGTAAAATTCTCCTTTTCTCTCCCCCTCACTCTCTCTTTCTCTACAACTTTCTATATCCATTTAGTTTGTCCTTTATTTTCCTCTTTTCATTATAAAACAACTAGTTATACTTTAGGACAAAACTACTTTCATTTCCCTTAACAAAAGTGCACCTCTGCAGCTCATAGCTTTTCTTAGCCAAAATACACCCTACTTACCCTGAGTAGAGATGTTTCCCTTATTATTTCTAGTAATTTTAATTATATTGATTAATTAGAATTTTTAACCCTTTTAATCCTTTATTCTTAACAAAAACTAAGAAGTAAGAATTGTGGATTGTCTGTTCCACAAGCATTCTGTGGATTGGCAGATTTAAATACATTTCATAGAAGTGTAACTGCTAGAAGTGTAATCTTCCTCATAGCAAATTTTTCAATGTACAATACATGTTTACTTATATACCCAATATCCTAGTTTCTTTGTTATAAGAAGTCCAAAGTAGATAAACTTGTGTTCAGTAATTAATGTTGAAGTATTTTATCTTACTTGGAAATAATAGATATTCAATGAATATTCATCATTTAATTATCTCAGTATAACTTAAGGTTTCAAATTACCAAAAAATTTTTGGAAATTATTTTTAAGCATAATTATTCTTGAAAAGTTTATTTACAAATGTTTATTTTGTTTACATCTATTTAATTTACTTGCTCTTAACAATTATGTTTAGATTAGCCATGAAAATGTCATGAGACATTAAACAGCTATTATCTTAAGTTATCTTTCTTGCTGACAAATTCTATGAGAGATAACATCAGCTTATTTGACTTTTATTAAACCTAGGTAGAATAAAAATATTATATTTATTGCTGATAACTCTAACAAAATGCCTGTTTAAATTAAACTAACAAACTTAAACTAGATTTATTAACTGAAGATTATCCTAGATCATATGAACTTGAAAAACATTTGGGTTAGTTTTTAAATTTTTTTAGAATATACTTAATTTATATAGTGCTTGTTTGTCTTTAAGTCTAATAAATAGAGGCCTTAACAAATTAATTTTGGCAATACTATCCGGAGATAGAAAAATGTCACACATTCATAATATACCTACATAGACATACATAAACATACATACAGATGCAATCAGGTTTTATAGCTTTCATTTTAAAAGTTGAGTAATGAGATGGATATAATGTCTACTGTAGCCACTGCTCCTGTCATCTCTCCAGGATGCTCTATAAAACATGTCCTGCTACTGTTGTCTGTACTGGCCTGCTGTGCCACCAGCATTCTGTCCTGGTTACCCATCTAGTCACCTTGACTCACCCTTGCCCTCTCAAGCTCTTTGTGGTCTTTTCTCTCTGCAAATCCAGGACTATGAGCTCTTCACCATCTTTCCTAAGAATCTCACATGCTCAGCCTTTTTTCTGGCCAATAGGAAATACTTACCTCTTGTGTGTCCTGCTCCCCACTTTTAGTGCTGGTAGTAGGGGAATCTACTGTAGAAGTCTTTACTCCTTAATGACATTGCTCTAGGCTTACTCGCCCTCTCCCATGAGAGGGCGGGTTTGGATAAATTGAAGTTCAAGCTTCAACTCTATCAGAGTCTTCCCTCCCTTTGGACACATAGACCTTGAAGGTGAGACTAATCTCACAAGTGAGGCCAGTAGATAGAAGTAAATCTCTTAGTAAGTGAACCCATCAGCTGCCCAATAATATCTCCATCTCAGCAGAGTCTTCCTGCCCTTTGCTTGTTTCAGTGTAGGCAGGAATACTTAGGATAACTGAATACACTGTGTACAGAGACATCCTGATGATGATAATCTGAGAGCAGAGTGTTATTACTTACAGGGTTTTATTAAGCATTGTTCACACCCAGGTGAGGGGTAAGTACTGTAGCAATCTAATGGAAAAAAAAATTACACAGTGGCAGAAGCCACCTTGAGTTTTCTCCCTGCATAATGAATTTCTCAGTGACTTCTCTAACTTCCCAGCGAGAACATTCAGTTCGTAAAAGTTATCAATATGAAAGAACTACTGAGGCACACTGTTGCTCCTTTTGTTCTGATAATAGAGACTCAGGCAAGCTCCTATGTAGCTTTCTTTTCCAATGTGAATGCTTTAAAAAAGAAAAGAAAAGAAGATGAATTGTAGCTTGCAGAGAACAGTCAGTTGGAGTGAAGGGTCCAGAGCTACTGCCGACTCAGGTTAAAGGAGGGAGAGTCGTGGTTCTGGTAAAGCACTGCCTTCAGCTCCATAGGTGGAAAGATGTGTGCCATTAAACAACTAGAATCAACCTCTCACACTGTGATAAAATGCTGTTGGTCCTCAAATCATGGGAAACAAGGGGGCTTTGCTTGTCCTAAGGGGACTTTCTTTTCAAAGCTGGGAAGGTCATAAAATAATTGCTAACACTTTTCTAACCTCTGGTCCCCTTCAAGGCGTGGAACTGAGGGTTGTTTTGCCTTGAATCATGATAAAATATAACGAGTGCTGGTTTCTCAGTCACCGTGTCACTTATGATGTCCAGTATTTTCCAGGTTCTGGTCCTTGATCATGGTGAACCTGACTTATGAGCTATATTGAATTTCCTTCTAAAAGCCAAAACAATATGTTGTAGACGGCTATGTTTGACTATTTTATGATGACTTCTACTTTCATCTCAAGAAAAATGACATTCATACTAAATGTCTCTTTTGTGCCTATTGAAACATCTTTATTCTTTTACAAGGTTTGCCTGGCTTTTATTGTCATGCTTTTTTATGAAGGCAGAGACATTGAATGAATGGCTATAGTTTCTACATTTAAATAATCTTTTTTAACCTCCTCATTTATATATATGGGTTTTTATAATGTGATGGTTTCTTTTTTTCTTTCTGCTGTGTCTCCTTGGCTTAGCTACATCCCCAGTTATTCAAACATGAATCTATGTATTGCTGTGAGGGGAATTTGCAGATGTAATTGAAATCCTTATTCAGTGGGCTTTAACTATGGGAGATCATCCAGGATAATCTAGGGACTGATTAAAGCAGTCGAAAAGACTTAGGAGCAAGGCTTATACTCCTCAGCCCTGATCCTCATTTTTTTTTTTGACTGCTTTTTAACTGTGGGATGTGTGTGTGTGTGTGTGTGTGTGTGTGAGAGAGAGAGAGAGAGAGAGAGAGAGAGAGAGAAAGAGAAGAAAATAAATTGTGCTTATGTTTTAAATTTTTTTCTAGCTTTACTAAGATATAATTTTCAGGTTTCATCTATGTTATTGCAAGTAGCAAGATTTCCTCATTTTTAATGACTGGATAATATTCCATTGTGTATATTAAGAGAAGAGATAACAATTGGTAGCAAGGATGTGGAAAAAGGAGAACTCTTGTGCATTGTTGGTGGGAATATATATATATACACCACATTTTCTTTATAGTCATCTGCTTGTGGGCTCTTAGGTTGTTTGTATGTCTTGGCTATTATGCACAATGCTGCAGCAAACATGGGGGTGCAGCTGTATCTTTGAGATCTTGATTTCATTTCCTTGGATATATAACCAGAAGTGGAACTGTTGGATTGTATGGTAGTTCTGTTTTTACTCTTTTGAGGAAGCTCCATACTGTTTTCCAGAGTGGTTGCACCAATTTACCCTCCCACCTTGATAGTGACCTCTTGTCAGATATATTATTTGCAAATATTGTCTCCCATTCCATAGGTTGCTTTTTCACTTTTGTTAATTTTTTTTGATATTCAGATGCTTTTTAGTTTGATAAACTCCCTTTAAAATTTTTGCTGTTTTTGCTTGTGGTTTTGGAGTTATATCCAAAAAATCATCTCCAAGACCAATATCAGGGAGCTTACCTTCTATATTTTCTTCTAAGGAGTTTTATGATTTTAGGTATTACATTTAAATCTTTAATTCATTTTGAGTTAATTTTTGTGAATTGTATAAGATAGGAATCTATTTTCATTCTTCTGCATGTGAATATCCAGTTTTCCCATCACCATTTATTGCAAAGACTGTCTTTTCCCCACTGTGTATTCTTGGCTCCCTTGTCAAACAGTAGTTGAACCTATATATGTAGGTTTATTTTTGAGCTCTCAATTCTGTTCAGTTGGTTTGTGTGTCAATGTATAAGTCAGTATCATTACTGTTTTGATTACTATAGCCTTGTAATTTAGTTTGAAGTAAGGACGTGTGATGCCTCTACTCTTGTACTTCTTTTTCAAGATTGCTTTGGTTATTTGGTGTATTTGTGGTTCTATATAAATTTTATTTTATTTTATTCATTTTTGTTTCTGTATGATGTCTATTACTTTTTTTTTGAAGTATAGTCAGTTTGCAATGTTGTGTTAATTTCTGGTGTACAGCATGGTGATTCAGTTATATTAGTTTATCTTTCCAGATCACACACAAGTTGATAAATATATAACTAATAAATACACAACTGACCCTATTATTTGAGTGAAGATTTGAGGAATTAGTAAAACAAATGATAGTGGATTATGCTTTCATCATTTGGATTCTTTTTCAAAAGTCTGGTAAAAGTAGACTTATTTAACAAGTTTATCTTATAATTTAGTTTGCTCTAGTACCAGCCTTCCCCAGATTCTTATGTGTTAAACAACCAGAAGTGGACATGTAGTTATTATTGTAGCCTCAAATCCTAATTGGACCTTTGGTGAGTTAAATTGTATTTGAAAGTATTTTTAAAACCTTGCAAGAGATTGCAGATAAGGTGCCTCAGACAGTTATTTTGGTTACACGGTAAAAATGTTTTTGCAAGAAGACTAAAAGCCTTTAGGGCCAGGGCATCAGAGATACTTGTGGTTTTGATTTAGCTGGGATTTTTTTCCCCATTACTTCTTGCTTTACACATCAAGGGGGAAATCTGATGCTGTGCATAAGAGCAAGTTTCACATGGAAGATTCTTTTCTGGTATTTTAAATCCTGGGAAAATAAACCCTTATTTTTATTTCTTGTACTTGGAGCTGTAATAGGGAAAAATCCTATAATTTATAATCCTGAAGGCTTCTTCTTGTCTTGGATTTATTTGTCTTGTATAAATTAATTAGCTCTTCAGTATCTTCTTCCATGACTTACTTCTCTTTAGCTGCTAGATCCAAGCCATACTTGGGTGTTCAAGAAATGACCAGAAAACAAAACAAAAAAGAAGTCTTGCTTCCCTTCTAGTGTTGTCCAATCCACTTTAACAGGAAAGAATTATAAGAGCTTGATAATGGCATCTAAAGATATATAAAGAATTGTCAAACTGTTTATACCCAAAGGAAGTTTAAAATTAATTTTTATTTTTAAAATTTGTAAATTATTCTTATAATTATGATTTGATAAAACCAAAGAACAGGAATTTGTTCAACAGGAAAAAAAATGCTTTGAGTGTGCAAATGTAGCAAAAAGTTTTGTTTGATGTATTAAATATAAATATATGTATAAATATAAATGTTTATATGTAGATATATTAAAACACCGTTCTCTCCCTTAGAATTCATGAATAGACATGTGAATTATTATTTTTTGGTGGTTATTTAATATCAGAGACAACTTTTTAGCTAGGAAATTAGCAATGCATATCAGAGGTGGTTTTAAGATTCTAGAATACATTTCTAAATCATTGTATAGCAAAACAACATATCAGAAATTCTACCAGACTGTGATCTCCTTAAAAACAGGATCCATTAATTCCGGTAAGTACTGAATATACAAATGTGATACAATTTCATTTAGAAAAGAAAACATGAGGTTTGAAGCTAGAAAAGCCATCCTTGTTTCTCTGAACTTTAGATGAAATGACAGAGAATGGATTGTTTCTGTAGAAATGAAGCCCTAACCAGACCTTCGCAGGTGCAAAAACAGGGATAAGTTACCCCAGTGCTCCAGAGGCAGACTGAACAAGACAAGAGGGGCTTATCTCAGACAAGTACAGAAATAACAGAGCCTCGTGCCAATTTTTGAAAATTAATTATTTAGAAAGAGAAAAATCACATCACTGTAGCCACATACTGGAATTCGCAGGAGGCCTGTGTGGAGCTGCTTTCCTTGTGTGATCTCAGAGACACACAACGTGACTCTGCAAAACACCCAGCTTCCTGCCGGGGCTGATTATGGCCCACAGCCCAGGGGGCGTTGATGTGAAAGAAAACCCTTATATTTCATCTTCAGAGTTGATAGTGGAATGTGATGATATTCAAGGAAAAGCTGCAGGTAGAAATGCACATCCTCTAGGGAAAGAAAATCAGAAGTTATCAGCACAATTACAGTTAGTTTCTGTGATAACTGTAAGCTACTACAAACATTGAGCAAGGACTCTATAAAGACTCCAAATGACTGTACAGAACTTGAAATTGTGCATTTGTGTGTGTTTTGATCATGTCTAAAATGAAATGATGTGTTAATTTTTAGTATTTTTTTTAATCAAAAGAAGCATTTAGTTGGCCTGAGTTAAATTCTGTTGCTGGCGATTAGGTTCTTGTCTCGTCGTAGAAAGAATTCAGAGATAAGACATGGAGGTGAAGAAAGTAAAATAAAGTGAAGATTTATTAAGGGATAGTTCGCTCTCAAGGGGAGAGTGGGCAGGCTCAGGTGAGCAACTACACTGAGTTTCTTTTCCAAGTTGTTTACATAGGATATAAAAATGAATGGGCAAAATATTAACTGGGGAGGGAAGGGTTTGGGATTGTATTTTCTGATTTTCATCCTAGCTCCACCTTCCCAGTGGGAGGAGGGATTCTGTCCTTAATTAGTCTAAATCGGGAGTGTCATAATGTTGGTGCATGATGGGTACTTCTAATCTGCAAGGCTAATTTTATTGAGATGAGGGCATAATGAGCAAAAGGTTACATTTGGACACTGGAAATTCCTGTCTTTTCTCACCTTTCTTTGTCTGCCTCTAGGACACTTGTCACCCCAAAAGGTGTGATCTCTTACCTGTCCCAAGGTTCCTGCTTTTCTCTACCCAAGGACCCCCGTTGTTCACAGGATGTATGATTTCCTGCTGTTTGGTCTGTGCACCTCCTTTTTTCTGCCTGTTCCTGCCATTTGGCCTACGTCCCCCTTTCTCTTCTCATATCTAGCTATCTGCCTGCTCTAACAGTTCTTCAATGGCAATTCTGCTCAGTGGAGACAGTGGAGCAATGGGTTTTTGAATGTATTATAAGCTGTAACAGATATATGTTATTTTTGTTTGCCCAGCACCTTTCCCTCCTCTACAGGAAGAAGTATGCCAGTTTTCCTCTGGGGAACTGGATTACCTATTTCCTGCCCAAGTGTCCAGGAGAGACTTCACAGCATAAAAACTGTGACCCTGATTTCCCAGAGCGTGGTGTTTGTTTTGTGGAAAGACACCTGACCTAAGTGGGCTGATCAGAGTAAGTTCTTTTGGTTCTAAGTTGAGCTTTTCTAAAAGACATGCTCTTTATTTTCTGCTAGCTTGAACATGAAAGGTGTGGATTAGCTATCTTGCTTCATTGTGGAACTTGAGAATAAGCCATCCCATTAGGGAACAGAAGGGAGAGAAGGAGAGAGCCTGGCTATGCTGAAATAGTTCAAGCGCTGGGCTCAAGTTATACATGATTTTTAATCCATGTGATCCAATAAATTCCTTTATTTGCCAAATTAGCATGAGTAAGGCATCTATTATGCAACAGAAGGTGATTTAACTAATGTGATAACTGAATAAAAAGCAGGCTCCTATTCTTCTGCCCTTTTGAATACAGTGAAGTGTTTATACGAAAAAACTGAAAGAAAAATTATCAGGTTACTCATGCCTCAGAAACTGAAAAGTTCACCCAAGTATATGATTGCTTTGAATGTTGGTGCCAGAAAAAATGAAACTAAAAGATCTGAAGAGGGTATTGATAGAAGCATTTATTGAATGTGTCTCTTGCAAAACAAGTTTAATAACACATAATGTTAATTTTTTAAAACTTTAAACACCGGGAGAGTATTATTTCCCACCTTTTTAGAGCAACACCCCCCATTTGTAATTCTTATTCCAGGATCCTTTGTAAAATAATTGATTATAGTTTAATTTCCCTAAACTTTGAAGGGCTAAATAGTTGTCTGTAGGTGTAGGGGCAGAAAAAGTTTTCCCTTTTCTCTTTTAGGTTCTTTGACTGGTCTAGTAATTAAATTGATGTAAGACAGAGTAACAAGAGAAAAACAAAATTAATTTTGTACATATGAGATTCCCCTAGATATGAGACCCAAGCGTGGGGGCTGGAGGTGTAAATTGATTTCTACTTTGAACATTCTTCTGGATTTTGGACCCCTGAACTGATTGACTGTTCTAGAAAGGGTACTTTATACTTGAAATGCATCATTTAATTGAACTGAAATGTTTGTTTGCTGAGCCAAAAGCTGTCCTCTGGGAGATAATTTCATGCCTTCTACAAACCCTAAGTTTCTTAGCACTTGTCAGTTTGCATGGACCAACACAGATTTAAAAACTGTAGAAACATCTTGGCTGCAGGGGTTTATTTCCTTGGTAATACTGACTGTGACTTGTGAACATCTGAGTGCCAGAAGCAATGAGGCCCTTATGATTTTGGACAGCTATGAAGTAAATCTAGCCTGTATGATGGGTATGAACTACTTGATGAAATAAACTTTAAAACACGGGCAATCGTAGGCCATGCACATCACCCATGCTTTACCTGCTCCATGTATTTGGTAGTAACGAGTACTAAGGGGAATAAGTTTTCTTTGGGTTCTTCACAGTAAACTACTCTATATGAGCAAGTGAGCTGTGCCTAGCTCTTAGTTCAATAAATTGTTTTCACATTAATTAATTCCTGCATATTAAAGTTTTCCCCCAATCATGCCTAAAATGTTAACCTGTCCTTTCAGTTTGTGCTGTTAAGAAGAATCACATCATGGATTGCATTTTCAATCCACTATGCACAGATTGCCTTCAATGGCCGGCAAACGCAAGCGCTGTGTAGTTAGAGCTGCAGAAAAAAAACTGGGATCTTTTGAATATTGCATAAGCACATATGGGATTTTCGGCTTTAGCATCCTATGAGAATGAGGGTGATCAGATTGTTTTGAAGTAAACAAATTATAGGAAAGCTATTGCCAGAATCCATTGAATTCATCTTCTGTTACCTAGGGACTTTTTTTTTTTTTAAATTCCAGATGCTTGGAATTAATTCCACATTCAAAGCTTGTTGTCTAGAGGAAGAAAGATAAGCTCCTTTATAATTTTTTAAGAGGTTAAAGGTGGGAAAGTTTCTTAATTTATTTTCTTGGAGGAAACAAAATATAGCAAGACAGCATTATAATCCCTTTTAACGATTTATTGAAATGTCAAACTCAGGGGGACTGAAGCTGTATGAGGAAAATGAATAAATAGCAGATTAGCATTTAGACAATATCCTTTCATTGACTATAGGAAATAATGCTGAATAGAATTAATTTGGATTTTGGCAGGAATTTGAATAGTAGAGGTAAAGCAGGCAAGTAATTGGGTAAATCTGAATCTTGTAAGAACATTTACTAGAATAAATTAAGGAATAGCATGATGACAAAGATTCTTTTGGAGGCTCTAAGTATTAAAAACTAAGAAAGTAAGGATTTTGTACTTGTTCAATGGTTTTCCAGAATTTAAAAAAGAAAAGTCTCTTTTTTTTTTCCTTTTGTTTTAAAATCAAGATTTTTTTTTTTTAGCACCAGTGCAATTGAGAACTAAAATCTATCACTGGTATTGAAAACCATAATTTGTTGGTGAGTTGTCCAGGCTAGAAGTAAAATGATTTCAAACCCTGTCTGGCCAGTTTCAGTTTGAATAGACAAAGAATGACCCTCTAACTCATTATTTGAAATCTTTGGATCTCTTTAGATAAAGAAAGGGTACATCATTTTTAATAGAAAGTTTTCTTCTACATAAGAACCTGTTCCGACAATTTAATGATTATAGCTTATGGAGCATAAATTCTGGACATTTCAGCTATTTTCTCCACTCTCATTTTAGATCTAATTAGAACTAGATGGCCTATTTAAATGTATACATGCAAAAATATTTCTATTTAATGGAGAATCTTAAAATACCCTAAATTAGAAAGCCATTTATTTTACTGATGATGTCTTCAAACTGTGCCATGACTTGATCAGCTCTTACAACTAAGTGTAATTAATTCACTTCATTCATTCTCCTTCCTAGATGGTATGACCTTTCAGGTCCTTGTTGGGAAAGCTTCTTTATTATATGTCTCAAGATGCCTGAGTCTATTACCACTTTCAGTGTAGAAAATACAGGTTCATTTTTCTCTCCCAGGCATGCTTTCTAGTAGAAGAATCTGGAGAGAAAAGAAGTGGAACTCTGCCGCATATTGGCAGGAGTAACTAGAAGGCCAAAGAGCTTATGGAGAGATAGCCTGCTCTTAAGAGGGAAGTGATGGGAACAAAACCACAGCTGCCCAGGCAGTTGTTTAGATGAGACATCATAGTCTTAAGAATATTGCCCTACATTTTGCACTCCTTTCTCTCCACTCCTGTTAGTTTATTTCAGTGGGCAACTGTGATGAGGATATCCTTGGGCTGCCTGTTCTTAGAAAAAGGGGAAAAAAAAAAGAAGAGTAGGCTCAGGATCCTACTCTTCTGGTTGTGGTTGTGGTTGGCGTGGTTAACTGAGAGTCATAATATTTCACCTGATGGCAGTGCCCCCATTGCTTATGGAGAAAATTGCCTAAGAGAACATACTTTGCCTTCTTTGCATGGGTCCTGGGCCATCTTACAATGCTAAATGAGGCGTGAAGAGCCTAGAGAAGCAATGTGTGCCCAGAGCAGTGAGAGGTCATGGACCTGACACCCTCTCCTGTCCTCTCCCCATCTCCCTTCCTCCTTCCAGTCCTGACTCTCTTCTTAAACGGCCATCTCTTCTCTGACGTTCGTTTCTGCTCCCTCTCCACTTCTCTTCACTAACCAAATGGCTCTTTTGTGATATAGACTTGACTTACTACAAACATATAATAAAACTTGCCATTTATTAAACCAGCTCTCTTTAGTGTATTTGTCATTGCTGAAATAGCCAAAAGTGAGCCAGGAGAAAAAAATAAGATCCTCCAAATCCATTAATCTCATGACCTCATCTGATACTGTGGTTTCTGTCCCTTGAGCACAATTACATTATTTAAGCATAGTAACAGTGATTTGAATTTAAAGATGCCCTGAAGCTGTGAGTAGAACTGAAGACCTATCACATTAGTATGGATCTCTTAGTATAAAAACACCATTTGAATTAGGGCATGTCAAGTCTTAACTTTTTTTTTTAATTGAAGTGTAGTTGATTTACAATATTGTGTTAGTTTCAGGCATACAGCATAGTGATTGAGTATTATTTTCAGATTGTATTCCATTACTGGTTATTACAAGATATTGGATGTAGTTTCCTGTGCTATACAGTCAATTCTTGTTGCTTATCTATTTTATATGTAGTAGTTTGAATGTGTTAATCCTAAAACCCTAATTTGTTTCTCCCCTCTTCCCTCTCCCTTTTGGTAACCACAGTTTTGTTTTCTGTGGTTGTGAGTCTGTTCCTGAACACTTAACATTGTGTCTTTTCTCTCTCACTTCTAAGCCCCCCATATCTTGAGAGAACCTCTAATTATGAATAGTCTTGGTGGAGGCAATGTCTACTCCCTAGCGTGGAAATGTAAACGGTCAGGTCCTTGATCCTGATAATACTGCTGGGGTATGACCGACACCTAGCTGCTTGGATGCTTTTGCCAAGGCATTAAATTACTAAATACAAGAAAGGACAGCTGGGTTCACTGGAGTGGCTGTGACAGAGTGTCCAGTGGTGGTGGTATGCTGGCAGATTATTACTGCTAAATATTATTCATGTGCTTCCAGCTTCTTGGGTTTTAGAGATGTTTATTTTGTATGTCTGATCATTAAGTTTCCATTGATTGTGTGAGTCCTCAGTACTTTTCCAGTAATTTTATTTTTGGTAAACAGAGCCAGATTTAGTATCTGTGGTAGATAAAAATACCAGCCTTGGTCCTTAGCCTGTGTTTATATTCAAGCTCCTAGCTATGTGATTTTGCAGTCCTTCTCATGAGAGGTGTTGTGTACTTCCTCATGTCTTGACTTTGGGCTTGGCCGTGAACTTGCTTTGTCCAGTGGAATGTGGGTGGGCAGAATAGTGTGTCAGTTCTGAATCTAGACCTTAGGAGGCATCATGTTCCTGCCTGCTTTCTTATGCTTCTGCTATTGACATGAGAAAGCTTCTTTGGGTACCTTCTGCTCCCTTAGCCCATACCTCATAGTGAAGACTTATACGATAGGCCTCAGCCCAACCTGCAGTGAGGGGCAAAATCTAGCTGGATCCACAATTTGAATATATACCACAACTTCTTTATCCAGTCATCTGTTGATGCACACTTAAGTTGTTTCCATGTCTTGGCTATTGTAAATACTGCTGCTGTGAACATTGGGGTGCAGGTGTCTTTTTGAAGTGGGGTTCCTTCTGGATAGATGCCCAGGAGCGGGATTACTGGGTCATATAGTTAGTCTATTCCTAGTCTTTTGAGGAATCTCCATACCGTTTTCCACAGTGGCTGCACCAAACTGCATTCCCACCAGCAGTGCAGGAGGGTTCCCTTTTCTCCACAGCCTCTCCAGCATTTGTCATTTGTGGATTTTTGAATGATGGCCATTCTGACTGGTGTGAGGTGACACCTCATTATAGTTTTGATTTCCATTTCTCTGGTAACTAATGATATTGAGCATTTTTTTTTCATGTGCTTCTTGGCCATTTGTATGTCATCAATGAAGAAATGTTTGTTTAGGTCTTCTGCCCATTTTAGGATTTGGTTGAGAAACACAGATATGTGGTGGTGGGTCCAGTTGAGTTTAACAGAACTGAACATCTCATGTTAATCTGCAGATTTCTGAGAAATACATTATTTTTGTTTTATGCCACAGAGATTTTGTGTTTGTATGTTTTGTAGCACCCAGTAGCTAACTGATACATATGTGTTATATGCAATTAAAGGTATTCTAATCAATGGAATACATTGATGTCAGTAATATGAAGGAAGCATATGTGTATGAGCCTATCCTTAGCTCTGTGAGGTTGATCGTGTCCAGCCTGAGAAATTGTGTTTTTCTCTTCTATTTCATCTTTTGGCTGGAATGAACACATAACTTAGTTTTCACAGTAACGAGATGTATGGGAAGTCATGTGTCTGTGTGTGTGTGTGTTCACGTGCACGTGAGTGTTTGTGTGTCTAAAAAGTTTTTTTTCTTTTCCTAATAAAAGAAGATACATTGGAAAATGTGTTCTCTCTCTTCTGTTCTTTTCTTTCCAGGAGCTGAGACAGTCTGTGTCCAGTGAGGAACACCTGAGTTTAACACAGAGGGAATGAACTTGGGTGCGTGATGTCAATGAACCACTCAACCAACCCTGGACTGTCCTACCTCTGAGGTTTGTATCATTTGAGAGAATACATTTTCATTTTTAAGCTGATTGGGTTGGGTTCACTTGAAAGTATATTAGCTAATATGAATGTGGTGTGTATGGAGCATCAGAAGAACTGAATGCAGTAGAAATTTGGCTGAAAAGAAGAAAATAGTTCCAGTCACCCATCATGAAACAGTAGGCACACAGCAGCTGGTGTTAAGTGGTATGTAAGCTTTTTATACAGGTGGAAAGCAGACCAGATCTACCTGGCTTTTCCTCTGCCCTTCCTGCCACAATTTTATTGGCTCTGTGTCAATCACCAGTCAATGATGGGAGACATACCTTAATTGCTGACCCTCTTTGCAGAATCCATATCTACAAGACTCTGACCAATAAAGCACTTACCCACCTTTCACTTTTGGAGGGAAGTTTGGCAGGTCACATTGGCTCCACATCTCATCTAAAATCAGATGGTGTGTTGTTTGATGTCCAGGCTGTATCCCAGACCAATGAGATGAGAATCTCTGGGGTTAGGAACCAAGTGTGAGTATTTTTCAACCTTCTCAAGTCATTTCCGTTATGCAGCCACAGTGGAGAACCACTGTTCCAACTTCTGTCCTCCTATAAATGAAGCACCAAATCAACCCCCATATCAAATGTGTAGACAAGAGAAAAAAGGCATAGGAAAGTAAAGCCCATGGAGAGATTCGTTGTCTATTGCTTTGTAGCAAATTACCCCACAATTTAGTAGCTTAGAACAACAACAAGCTTTTATTATTCTCAATTCTGTGTTCTGGAGTCGGGGACAGCTTAGCTGGTGGTTATGCTGAGGGCTTCATGCTGTTGCCATTGTTGTTGGCCAAGGCTGCAGTCATCTGAAGGCTTGAATGGGGAGAATCTTCTTTTAAGATGCTTACTCTCATGGCGTTGATAGGAGGTCTCAGTTCTTTGCTAGCCGTCAGGAGGCGTCAGCGTCCTGCCAAGTGCTTTTCTTTCCAGAGCTGCTTAAGTTTCCTTGAAACATGGCAGCTGACATCTCCCAAGCAAGTAATTCAAGAGAAAGAAAGGTAGAAGCTCTGATTTTTTTCATGACCTAGACTTTGAGGTCATATGCCATCATTTTCATAATATTTTATTGATTACACTGGTCAGCCCTATTCAGAGTGAGATGGGACTACAAAGGTTTTAATACCAGGAGTTTGGAATCATTAGGCCTATATTGGCTACTACCCTTGGATAAAAATGAATAAATGATTTGTCCTCATTTTGAGGGTGAATGTCTGATAGGCTGAATGATAGAAACCCTCATTTGTGGCTTCCTTGAGGAGACTTCATCAGAATCAAAATACTCTGTAGAGCAGCCCTACCAATTTCTCAAACACCAGGTGGCTGGGAAGAGCCTTTGTGTTATCTTAAAAGACATTATTGAAAAGCACAATGCCCTTTAAGGAAGTCCACCTCTGCCATTACTTGAACTAGTTTTGTCCAGATTCAGATCAGTTGAGACTCACAGCTGATGCCTTGCAGCAAGTATAGAGGATGTTAGCTTCATTAGTACCGGTTCTTCTGAAAATGAAAGGACTTATGATAACTATCAAATGTCTATAGCTATCCAAGAGCCCTCTGACACTAAGAAGCCTGGCTGTCTGAATTATTTGAAATTGAGTCTTCTCCCTCACCTTTTGGATGTGGGAAACAAGGATCTTCAAAGCAGCCTTCTGTCTTCTCTATAATTCCTTATCTCCAGAGTCATTTACTCTTTCCCAATCAAAGACCACCTGTATATAATATTGCCAAATTTATATTTCTTGTCCAGATTTCTCCTATCAAATGCCAGACTTGCATTGCCCGTATGTGACAGCTCCTCTTGAATGACTAATGGGAATCCCAATTTTACTTCTCCAAATCCAAACTCCTTTTATAACTTCGAAATTTTTCCAGCTTGATAGAGACATAATTGACATTAACGTTGTGTAAGTTTAAGGTGTACAATGTGATGATTTGATGTGCATATATATTGTGAAATATTTACCACAATAAGTTTAGTGAACACATCCTTCACCTCTGATAATCACCCTTTTGTTTTTGTTATATGATGAGAACATTAAAGCTCTACTCTCATAGCAACTTTCAAGTATACATACAATATTGTTAACTATAGTCACCAGGCTGTAATTATACCCCCAAAACTTATTAATCTATACAGAAAGTCTGGATCCTTTGACCATTATCTACCCAATTTCCCCATTCCTGGGCTCTTGGCAACCACCATTCTTCTCTCTGTTTCTATGAGTTTAATGTTTTTAAAGTTTCCATGTAAGTGATATAATACAGTATTTGTCTTTCTCTGACTTATTTCATGTAGTATAATGCCCTCAGGATTCATCCATGTTGTCACAGATGGAAGGATTGCCTTCTTTTTGTGGTTGAATAATATTTCATTGTATATATACACAACACATTTTCTTTGTTTATTCATCCATCAACAGACACTTAAGCTATTTCCATGTCTTGGCTCTGGTGAATGATGCTACAGTGAACATGGGAGTGCAGATACCTCTTTGAGATAGTGATTTTATCTCCTTTGGATATATACTTAGAAGTGGAATTGCTGGATCATATAATAGTTCTATCTTTAATTCCACCATGTAAAATCAAATTCTTAATTTCTTTCTCTACATTGATTCTTCTATTTTATTCTCTTTCTTAATATCTGTCAGTTTCATTCTTCCTGTTGCTCAGGTGAAAATTTTGGAGTTATCCTTGAATCTTTCTTTCTTGTGTAGCTCACAAGCAATAGTCTATCCATAGCCTTCTTGGTTCTCCTTTCAAAGTATTTACTAAATCAAAGTGTTCACTTCCTCCACCACTACTATGCTGGTCCAAGGTACCCTGATCTATTGCCTAGAAATGCAGTCACATGTTAATGCATCTCTCTGCTCTAACCCTGCCCTTATAACCTCTTTTACATATAGCATTAAAACTGGGAGACAGATATTGTCAGTTCTCTTTTCAAAATTTTCAGATGGTTTCACATTTCTAAAACTCTTTCTTTGATTTATAATGCCCAACATGATCTGCTCCCCTCTCCTCTTCTACTCCTGCTACCTCTGTGTCCTCATCTGCCATCTCCCCTTACAATAGTCCATTCCCCTCCACTCCATCACAGTGGCCACCTTGCTATTCCTTGCACATCAAGCATTCACATTCACCCCTCAGGGCCTTTACACTGCTTCTCCCCATGTCTGGAATTTTCTCCCCCACGTATCTGTTAAGTTTGCTTACTTCCTCCTTTTAGATCTCAGCTTAAGTACCTTTCTAAGTAGGAGAATGTTCCTTACCTCCATCTATAAAGAGTGTTTTTTCAGTCTCATCTATCTCTTTACAATGCTCTTTTATTCTTAAAACACTTAGTGTGATGACATATATTTGCTCATTTTATTGTGACGACCCTGCTAGAATGTCAAGCCCCAGCAGGGCAGAAACATTATCAGTTGTGTTTTTTGCTGTATTTGCAGAGACGAAAAACCATTCCTGACACATAGTAGGCACTCAATAAATATGTTTTAAATTAAATTAGATTACATTTATTCATGATGTCTCCTAAAATTTTATGTTAAAATTTCAAGATTTCTGGATAACAGAAACTACAGTAAAATCCCACTTGTGCCATATAGTAAAGAAACAATGTTATGGAAAATAAGGAGGAGAGGAGGGTATAGCTTGGTGGTAGAGTGTGTGCTTAGCATGCACGAGATCCTAGCTTCAATCCCCAGTGCCTCCGCTAAAAATAAATAAATAAATAAACCTAATTACCTCCCCTTCTCCAAAAAAAAAAAAAAAAAAAGAAAGAAAAAAAAAACCCAGAAAATAAGATCTTTAATAGCCTCACCATTTAAAATATTATCAAATTGAATCCAATATACCTAGGGTTGATGAGCCAAATTACTAATTTAAATGGCAGTAAAATATCATAGTATATTTAATTCAAAGAACATTATAGAAATAAGTGGGCTTTAAACAATCTAATGAAAAAATAGACTTGTCCTAAGAAACAAACTCAAAAATGCAAGCATAGAGACAAGTCAGAAAGATGTATTTAATAGCCACTGGTGTCAATTCTTTGTACAATTTATACTGGAAACAAAATTTGTTTTCATATTACTGAAAGAAAACCAGTTATCCAAGGGTTACTGATCTGGAAGGATAGGTCAGTCAGCAAACCTGGTAAGCCAAGCGCTAAATAACTTCAAGAGGGGCGTGATGAAGCAAAAAGTGAATGTGTAAAGCAAATTTGCTTATGGAAATCAGGGGGAGGCATCACTACCCTAAGGGAGGTAGTACTAGAGAACAAGGATGAAATCAAGAAGGGAACAAGGAAGGGAGGGGGCTTTGGTTTTGTATAATATGTAAATCTAGGTGAGTCATTTTGAGGACTTAGGCTGTTGCATATATGTCCTTGTCAGGTTGGTGAATTCGTGTTAGCAATTCCTTGTTGTTTTGTCTCTTCTACCAGCTGGTAGAGCTTGAGGACTAATCCTTAGACTAGCAGATGGTGGAGTTGGTTCTGTTGGTAGTTGAATTGGGCTGCTGTGGTTATGATATAGTGTCAACTTTCTAACTTAGGTGAGTTACAGTTTGTACCTAACAGACAGATGAGTTTGAGAGGTCAGTCTCCAAAGCAATTAAGTAAAATAATTTAAAACTTGAACTAAGTTGACATTTTTGGTCTGATAAATCCAGTCCTGTAAAGAGCTGATTGGTTTGTTGATGTGAACACTCACAATTTCAGGCACTGCTTTTTTCTCCATGCTGCTGCTCTCTCAGTGATTTCCAGAACCAAGGGAAGTGAGACCAAAGAAGAATGAAGAACTGACTCCTAACATTTTTTGGCAGACTACAATGTGACTAAGGGCAGCTTTCATTTTGTCATGGCCCATCAGATCTCTGCTCCTTTTTTCTTTTCCCAGTCATTTTAATATAGAAGATACACTAAGTAGACAATCTGTGGCTCATTTTATTTTTTTTAAATGTTTTTCTTGGAAAAGATATTAGCCTGAAACATGTGCGTGACAGTGTTTTATTTTTCTCTCACTGTTTCAGTTATTTTCATTGCATTGGTAATGCTGAAAGTATTGCCATTTTTCCTTTCTCGTTCTGTCTCTCTTTTTTTTTTAGAAAGAAGTAGAAATGAATTAACCCCTAAGCATGTAAAGGTGGACATTTAAATGGAAACAATATAAAAGTTTAAACTTAATGGTATTTTAACCCAATATTGCTAAAATGTACTAATCTATTCCTAAGCCTGAAAGATTAGTAGGCTGATAGATTTGTAATTAGTGATTTTAATTTTAGAATAATGATTTTAGCCTTAGAGAGTTCTGTGTCTTTTTTTAATCAGGGATGAGGATAATAAAATAAACTTGTGGGTGATACTGGATTCATATCAAATATGCTCATATTCAGACTTCAAATTATGTGAAATGCAAATTTCTTGGCAATTAAGATTAGCATATTCAGAAAACATCATATCCTGAGATTATGTCCTCTACATTTTAATTCTTAGACGTGTCAGCCATTTTGAATATATAATCATGACATGGTTAGGTTTTTATGCATCAAAGGGAAAGCTTCGTCTATTATTTTAAAACTGCAAATACCTAATAATCATTTTTGTGTCTTCCCTCAGTAAAAGCAATATCCCGTTCCTTTGACTTGGTGATCAGCATTTGATGATCTACCATTTCTTTGTGCTTTTGAGAAAACGCTATACCTTCAGGAGAAACAGCTGGAATGAATTAGGAGACGCAGGCTGACATGCCAAGCAACAAACAAGAAAACTAAAAGAGAATTTTTAAGGGCCTATCTTCAGTGTGGGATTGGGTTTTCCTTCAGTCTCTCTGGGAGCCCCATTCTAATCTTCAAGCTGGAATTGTGCGGCATGTTTCCTCTTGGTGTTTGAATGGGAAAGCAGAGTGAGCCAGGGTTTAAATTAAATAGCAGAGAACTTGCAGAATGGGGGCCTAGTGCTCTGCATAGGGAGTGGTTTTGATTCTCTGCTTTGACCCTTTTTGGATGAGTTAGGCAGGATTGTGTCCCTTAATTTTCTGTTCTATAAACACAATGCAAACCCTCATTTACAGGGCTCTGTTAATGCTAAAAACACTTTCAAGAGCTTATGGAAGTGATTAAATGAAACTCAAAAGTATTATCCTTTACCTTAAAATCTGTGTTGACTCTTGGACAGACTGGCTCGTTACCAGTATCCATGTCTTTTCAAGTGGAACAGTGTTTTAAAGTAACAATGTTTCATAAGTACCATGAGAAGAACTGGCTCCAAAAACAAGTTACAGTCTTTCTTGCTCCCAAAATGATGGGAATTCTTGGCAAACTGGGCCCATGAGTGAAAGCTGCTCATGGGAAGAACAGTTTGAAATGGGCAGGAATGATGAAATGACACTTAAACAGCCTACCCAATAAGTCAGAAATTAACCCTGGCTCAACAAATTAAAAATTAAGTGATTTCTGCCCTAAATTAGGACTAAATAGACTCAAAAGTCATTCATAGCAGTTCATACCCATTCCCCATCTCCCCACCTCCCCTCCCAACTGCAGCTCAGGGCTGTAGACTGAGCCCTTGGATAATAGTAGAATAAGATAACTGAATCAGATTGCTTTTGTGATATTTCAGGAATCAGTAAATCTGTGTGAAAATGGGTTCAGTCCCTAGCTAGGTTATACCAGGCAAAATCACTTAGTTATTATGAACCTTATTTCTTCATCTATAAACGGGGGTATTCTCTGTCATAAAACTTTTGTAAGATTGAGTTTGATATATAAAGCTCTTGGTACTCTGAGTGGCCTCCATTAAGAATGAAAAACTGGGAACGCCATTGGCGGTTGGAAGAAGGGAGATGTCAGTGGCTTTTAATTGTGGAAATCCATCTGCCTGGGCTCCACCCCTGAAGAGTCTGAGTTAGTGGATCAGGTGGGGCCCTGTTTTCAGTGGATGGTAAAAACTTGCCAGGTGCTTTTAATATGCAACCAAGATTGAAACTCACTGGGCTGTTAGAAGGGAAACCAGGTTTCTGCGGAGTATCTCTTAGCAAAGCATAAACCTTTGTGAATCTACGCGTGTTTTCCTTAATGGTTAAGAGGAAGTAACTAGCGCTTGTGAGTAGGTCTCATTTATGTTTTTATGTTGCTTTAGTTCATCCCCGCTGGGGATTTCAAATTCAATTGTGACTTTAAAGGAAAATTTATTCCCTTTTTTACTGTTTATGTTATGGTTCATAAATGAAAGTCTCCTTCCTCAAATGTGAGAGTTAACGACTTATTGTTATTGAGCTTGTGGCCCAAATTTAGACAGCCAGCAAAACTGGACCCCAGTCAGTGTGGATACTAGTCTGGCATCTTTTTCTGTCTTGCTAATGTGTCGACAGCCTTAAGTGAGTAGGCTGTGGGACCCAGGTCAAAGGTCACAACAACTCGCCTGTGTATGAGGTAAGAAGTAGATGTACGCACGCGCCAGTTATGTAAGCATTATGAACAAAGAAGTAAATGTACACATGCACTAGTAGCGTTTTGTAAGTCTTATGAACAAAGAAATGAACAATACGCATGTGCGGACAGAAAAGATAAAAACAGGACAAGTGTGCCACGTGGGCGCATGCCATCTTGTTGAACTAGAATAAAATGCTGTTTTGCTCCATGTGGGCTCCTCCACGTGCGGTCTGTTTTGCGGCTTGGAGGCCCCTCGCACATTTTTCCGGTTGGGCAGCTCACCTCCTCGAATCCCTCTTAAGCCCCCCTCAGCTGACATAATGCTACCTAAATAAAATTATTTTAGTATACACTATAGCATTTCTTTCTCTCTTTGGTTAGTGAGATTGACCTGGAGCACAGGTGCTGCACCTTTAGTGATGGATAAAACCACAGATGAAGAGAACATGTGAGCTTCCCTTAAGGCTTCCCGTCTGTCCTAGGTTGGTCCATCTCTGCCTCCACATCTTGTTCATGCTGCCAGGACTTCCTCTTTCACTCTGGCCTTATGAGAGGGACCTTTCTTCAAGAACAAACTTGAACTTGCCTCCTTCATAAACTCTTCCTGCCTCTGCCTGACCCAGCTATTGGGAGCCCATCCTCCTCCACATTCTGTGTTCACTTGCCCCGTGAGCCACAGTAACTGTGGGCTGTTGTTTACACTTTGTCGTGTCTGCATCTTGTCTTCACAGCTAGCTTTAAACTATTTCAAGCTAAGAAACAGCCTGATGACTTCAGGAATAAGGTCCTGCACTTCAGTAAGTACTCAGTGAATGTGTGATGGTGGTAGAAGTTAGATTTGAGAGAGGAGGAAGAGTGTGGGCTGGATTTATTAGGGAAGACCACAGAGAAGGTAGACCTTGAACAGGGATTTAGGATTGGATAGAATTTGGATTGTTGGAAGAGAGAGCCTTCTACAAAGGCTATTTTTGGTCAGATTTGAATAATCTGCATGCATATATAAAAATAGTTATACACACATATGTAAATGTGGAACCCTGAGTTCCTAGACCTTCTTAATAGCTTCAGAATCTGTCCTGATTATAATACCTGATATATGCAAATTTCTCAATTTCCAGTCTCAGAATATGAGGGCAAAACGTACATCACTGAGCCTTACTACTGGAATATGACCTGAAATAAATTGCTCTGCCTTGCTCAAAAAAAAAAATGATGTGTGTAAATTTTCCAAGCTTCATTTTCTTCATCAAACCTGTTGACAAGGGACATTATATTATTTCTGACTTTTATCTTACTATTCAGAAAGGATGATCGAAGCAGCCTTAATAATAGATCAGTCTCATTAATAAAACGTCTGCTCTACTCCAATTTACATAAGCAAAGGAGTGCATACAGCTTTCTGATTTGTACGCTCTCAACTAGAGGGAATTCTGAAGGTTGTTCGCCATCTCTTTTCAGTAATACAATTGGGGACGATGAAGTACTAGTATTATCTTATAATCTTATCCTTTGCTCCTTCAAAATTTGTAGCCCAGCCCCCTCCCAACTGGCCTTCAGGAATGTTGTATGGAAGCTGAGATCTCCAGTGATTTCATTCACTTAAAAGATCTGTTCAATATTGCACATGAAATGAAAATCTTTAACTGTGCATCACAGATGCGATGGGGGCCCTTGTCATCACTCCCCAGCTCTGACAGTCACCTTAGATGCATGATTGGAACAAGGTGATACAAGAGGAGGGAGAGTCAAATCAGCCAGTAACCAGGTTTCAATTACTATGACATTGATGTCTGACAGTAACATGGTCACAAAATTATTTTCTTGTGTCCATTGGGTTTGGGGCCCTAGATTTTTCTGTCCAGCAAGACATCTATTTATTCGAAATTTAAAGCTTAATTTCAGGTTGAGTGATTTTTAAATAGACCCAACTTTATTTTCCCCCACTCTGAGGACCACTCAGCTTTTTTATTTATTTTTTTTACAACATACATAACCTTGAATCGGGCCTTCCTCTTAAATCTCCCTGAGCTTTTGTATTCAGTGTTCACTGACTCCCACAATCAGTGAACCAATTACTTTTCATAATGAAGTTCATGTAAATTGGAGTAGAGCAGAAGTGTGGCCAATTACTTTTCATAATGAAGTTCATGTAAATTGGAGTAGAGCAGAAGTTTTATTAATGAGACTGATCTATTATTAAGGCCACTTCGATCATCCTTTCTGAATAGTGAGATAAAAATCAGAAATAATATAATGTCCCTTGTCAACAAACTTGATGAAGAAAATGAAGCTTGGAAAATTTACACACATCAGTTCTGGTTTTTTTTTGAGCAAGGCAGAGCAATTTATTTCAAGTCCTATTCCAGTTTTTTATAACTTCTAGTAGAAAAATTGAGGTCTTCTAAAGGTATGTTAGTCATGCAAAATGAAAGTTTTATTCATGTGCAACATGGAACTGAATGGTGGTATCTTTTGAAGTCCAACAGGAGTGGATTTTCTAGGATACTTACACTTTCATATTTTCTTTTCTGTTTTTTCCCATGGATAGAATCATGGATAGCATGCCATAAATATAGATTTTTAGTGTGCAAAACATGGGCAATGTCACCATTGCCCAGCTCACTTTTTAAAAAAACTCAAATGGTGAAATTATTAATGGTGATTTCACAGGAAGTAGGATAAGCAATGAGGTGGTACAGTGGGGGCCTTCTAAATGCTCCTCAATATATACTGGCCACTTTGTCTATTTCAGGATCACCAGTTTATGGAATATGTATCTCAAAGCCCTCATTAGTGACCTTATTCATTTAAATGTCTGTTGTGAATTATTTCTATGTTTTACTGTGTTTCTGACTATTTGAAATAATTTAAAACTTTAAAGCCTGTTTTGGGAAATATGAAAGAAGCAGAAGGAATTGAATTGCATTCAGGGATGGAGCAGTAAATGAACATTTTAAAAATGACACTGCACAGCGCACTGGTAGGTAGAGAAATGTAGAGGGAAATTAGAATAAAGCCCAAAAGTGTTTCTTGACTTTGTAAATTAAGGTTGTGTATTGGCCCCTGAAAGAGACTTCCTTGTGACAGCTGCAGAGCAGAGAGGAGGCCAGGGCAACACGGGTCTTTGGGCAGAAAGGAAGGCAGTTGAAGAGCATGCAGTGCTCCATGGCATACCAGGTACAAATCTTTTCACTGGCAAGGGACAGAAAAGCAATTCAAACTAATTTAATCACAAAAAGGAGAGTATTTATTAACTTACAAATTTGCTGAATTAGAAAAGTACTGGCCTACATAATTAAAAATCCAGAGAAGTTATCTCTGAATGCAGGTAAACAAGGAGTTGTGCCAGAAATCTCTTGTTTCTCCACCTCTTGTTCTGCTTTTTTGTTTCCTCTACAGGTAGGCTCCCCTCCAGAAGCATCTAAGTTATATTCTGTCTGTTTACCAACCCTAGTAGAAAGAGAGCACCTTTTCTAAGGGTTTCCACCGGACTCCAGCCTGATTCTTGTGAATTATTCCTTGGTTCGTTATTCCTTTGTGAATTGAACACTATAGTCAGGTGATACAGTGATCTAACTTAGCAGGTTTTTAGAGCTTAGGGTGGAGTCTTTTTCACTAACCCAGACCACAAGGACTGAGGGTGTGGGGAAGGGAGTTTGCCCAAAAGAAAACTGGGACTTGATAACAGAAGAATGAGCTATGAATAGGATAGGCAAACAAAGCAAAACTGAAAAGGAAACAAACAAGAGTTCCACTGCATATGGTTACAAACAATAGCAAGATGGAGGGTGGTCCTTAAGGGAGTGAGGGCTTCAGGAAAAATATAAAACAGGCGTTGACGTCATTAGCGGAGAATCTAATGAACATTATTCAGGAAATTATAATGCTGATACTCAGTTATGGTTATTAAGGAGATGAATAGCTAAATTAGAGAACATATTTTCATGCAGCTGTCCCAAGTAATTAGAAAAATATGTAGGAAGATTGATTAAATGAAAGCATTTTTCAAAGTTTTCTAGGGGAAACTTTTAGGTCCAAATTATGCATTCTTAGTAAGAGTGGGTGTTTTTGTGCAAACAGTAAACATCCTTGCAAAACATTTGTTTTTCAGTCTCTGTTTCATATGTGTGCCAGTCAGTAAAATTGCAATGCAGGCACAAGTGGTTTCATTTAGCTAAGAAAGTACTGCATGCTTATTCAGAATGATTTAATTTGTCTGGGAGAGAAAAGTGGATTGTTACCAGATCCTTTTAACTTGAACTATAGACACAAACTTGTCACTTTTACAGGGATTGACTTGGTTGATATTTCAAAGTTAAATATTTTTTGTGAAATTATTCTAGTTTTCTTTAGTTATTTTCTAAGTGGTGAGAAATGTGCCTCTGTGCTCGGATGTAGAAGGATACATAATGCACAGCTTTTGGATTTTTGATAGTCTTTGTTTAGTTTTAGAAATAATTTTGCCTGAAAATTTGATATGCATACCAGAAAATCCAGCACAACTCAAGACAATTCAGAAATTATTTACTGAAGACATACACTGCAGAGCATAAAACAAATAGGACCTGTCCTGCTTTCAAACAATTGAAATTTAGTATCAGAGATATTTCTATACTTTATAAGGATGAGTATAATGCATAATACATTATTACAATATAAAATAGTTATACAAACAGGATAATACATAATAGGACATGATTATAGTGTACAATACATGATTTTAATACATACTAGAGTACACGTTTATTAGAGTAGTGTGTAAGTCAATTATTAAGAAGAGGGTATTTAACTGGGGAAAAGAAAAGTGGAAAGTTTTTGAAGGAAGTGGCACTTGACACATATGCTAAAAACTTTTCCTTTTTAACAGACAGGATTGTTTGGTAAAAGGTATTTCTATTAGAGTAAATAATGTAGAGGCAAGGCATGCATTAAGTTCCAAGAATAGGATGATAATCATGAAGAGAAGGTGGGAGACAAGGCTGGCAAGGAAGATGGAAGCCCACATGAGAATTTACAAAATGACTCACAATCTGGATTCTCTGGCAACAGGCTTAGATACGGGGATTGTGGGAGAAGCTACTAAAAAGATGCCTGGAGTAGTTAGCATGGTGGAATAGGAGACAGCTGATGCCCCTAGTATGAATAAGCAAGTCAGGGGGAGTTTCCAGTTACTGTGGTAGGATGAAGATATGGTAAGTCTGGGATGAATTATTTCTGAGTTTCTGGGGAATATTCAAGCAGTTGGGGCTGTAACTGAAGAATAAAGTTTAGGTTAGAAAAAGACTTTTGGCAACAAGTTTATACTACATAGCACAATATCTTATAGTAACTTATAGTGAAAAAGAAAATGACAACAAATATATGTATGTTCATGTATGACTGAAGCATTATGCTGTATACCAAAAATTGACCCACCATTGTAAACTTCAAAAAGACTTTTGCATTATTCTGCCTGGATGTGATAGTTGAAGGCTTAAGAAGAGTGGATAAAATTGTACAATGGGGGAAAGTCAGAGGGTAGAGACTGGAAGACTTGGAAGAAAGAAGAGTGAGTGGAAGGAAGATCAGTAGAATTAAGTTTTCCTTTACTTTGTTTCTGACCTGTGACCAATCCCTTGTACATGTGTTTTGTTTTTTCTTTTTTTTTGTCACAGTTCACTGCCTTTCTCTCCCATTACTTTGATGGCATCAGTTTGTCTTAGAAAAGTGTAGAAGAGGTTTCTTATTTAATTACATCTTGTATCAGAATCAGGTTTTAGCTTGGCACTCAGATTTCTGGTAACTTGACTATTTTTTTGCCTTGCATTCAGTATTTTTATCCATCCTGATTCAGATATGTGCTTCTTCTTAACTTGTGACTTGAGGTACCACTCAGAGTCCATGCAGCAAACAGGTGGCGAATTCATAGAAGTAAGTAAAAAAGAAGTTTGGTAAAGGGGAAATTCTCAATGGTGTCAGTAGGCTTAAGGGAACTGACAAAGACTGGTGAAGTGTTCTTTGGTGAAGCATGCTACACCAGGACCTGTCGGGACAAAGGGAGATGGTAGTTATGAGATGGTGGGGAAAGTTGGAGTTATGAGAGGGGGGTCCATGTGATGAGTCACCACCCTGGGGATGAGAACATAGCCACAGACAAGCAACACCAGGGAGGGTGCAGGGGAGTCAGTTCCCTGACCTCATCCTTCTCCCACCCTCCATCTCCTGCCAGTGCCAACCATCAGCAAACCAATGTGGAAGCCAGAGAGCAAGGGGCCCAGGTGTTATTGTCAGTAGAGATCAGCTTGCTGGGGAGAAAAAGTAGGAGAGAAGAGTGAAGAGTGTGTCTGGAAGGGGAGAAGGGGATACCCCCCATGGTTGACTTCCTGGCTTCTGGTTCTCTTTTCTGCTGCTGACTTTGGATTGGAACATGTTACTTTTCCCTTGCTTGTTTTACTTACAGTGGCTTCTTGCTTTTTATGATCTCTGATAGATAAGAACTGATGTTTCACAGATAACACAGACTTGTCAGAAGCTTCTCCTTTTTCTTTTTCCTTTTCCTCTTCCATCTTAAACTGTGGAAAGTTAAAAGAATTTAAAGGGGGAAAAAGCAGAAGAAGGCCAAAAAGTCAGGAAGAGATGCGTAGAGTAACAGACTTCTTTCTATGTCTGTGCACTAAATGTTGATTTTACACATGACTAAGGCTATTTATAATTTGGCTACTAAATATGATTAGGAATTGGCTTGGAGAGTTCTGTGTTCTAGTTCAGTTTGTCTAGAGGAGAATTTTCTTTCAAAGCCACCAGTAAACCCTTCCCTGTGGTAGACACTCCCGGCTGCCTACCCAACCCTCCCTTTCATCCTTCTTCTTTGCTACCAGACTCTCATTTTGTTCCAGTCTTGGTGGCCACGGGCTCTGGAAAGGCTGGCTCTTCGCAGCACTAGGGATGAATTTTGATTAGTCAAAGAAGCTAATTGAGGTGTAGCAGAATGCTGAGTACTATTTTTTCATGGCTTTCATTGTAATTTGGATTCTGACACTGAGGACAAAGTGTTCAGGACCATATATTCTAAAGAAAGATTGTAGATCATCTATGAAAAACTTTTAATGATTTATATTGAAAACTAATCTTAAAAGAAGATATAAGAATGGCCAATACTCACCTGGAAAGGGGCTCTACATCAGTAGTGATCAGGGAAATGCAAATGATGAACCACACTAAGTTATCACAATATACTCACTGGAATGGCTAAAATTAAAATGACTGATAATGCCAAATATTGGTAAAGATATGGGACCACTGGAAATCTCATACACTGCTGGTAGGAGTGCAAATTTGCACAACTCTTCTGGAAAACTGTTTGACAGTTGCTTATAAAGTTAAATATACACCTCCTTTATGGTCCAGCAATTCCATTTCTAAGAATTACTCGATAGAAACAAAATCATTTATCTACAAAAGACTTGTACAAGAATATTCTTAAAAGCTTTATTCATAATAACCAAAAATTGGCAGCAAAGCCAGTGTTCATCAACAGAAAAATGGGTGAAGAAATTATGATGTATACCCATAAAGTAGAATATTATTTAGCAATAAAAGGAAATAAACTACTGATAAAAGCAACAAACTAGATGTATCTCAAAAATGTTAAGGTGAGAAAAAGCAATCAGACACAAAGAGGACATAAGTATCGTTCTATATACATGAGGTTCAAGGTGATAGAAAACAGAATAATGATTGCGTCTGTGTGGGAAGGGCAATAAACCGGAAAGGGCATGAGAAAACTTTTACCAATGATGAAATCCTTCTCTTGATTGAAGTGGAGATTATATGGGCTAATAAAATTATCAGACACATCAAGCTGTATACTTAAAATACAATTCATTGTTAATTGTAACTTGATTTTTTATGGCCTCAAAACTGTACACTTTGGGTAGATGTGTTCACTGGATAAGAAGTACTCAAATTTTCCTTTAGCTGAGATCCCACAGAAAAGAGATCATTTAATAGTTGACTCTGTGGGTATTTCTTGCAGTGGAGGTGGAAACACAGACTGGTGATTCTTGTGTCCCTGTAATCATCCAATCCACGTAGTTCCTTTTGCACCAACTGTGTGTTCACTGAGAATACTCTTGTTGGAGAGGGGAGCTGATCGGTAGACATGTACTAGGCTGGCTGGTTTCTAGCTACAGACTGACAAACAGATATTCTGCTTAATATACTGCTTAGCATCAATGGATCCTCCTTGGGGAAAATCACTTTCATTGACCTTTCATCCTGATCCTGCAGTATCCATCCTTTTCTTAAAATAACCAGTTCTCTATGCTCCATAGCTTTGTGAAATAGTTGTTTAATTGTGGTGTACACATGCCTTCTTATGTCTTTAATCCCTTTTAGAGAGTTTGACTTGTTATATATCAGAATCCGGTACATCCCAGGGGTGATGCAGATTTTAAATTCAAGCAGGATTCAGAGCAAGTATGGATTGGAGGGGTGGAGAGGGCTACCTTCCAATTTGAAATGTATCATATTTTTGACAGTAAGTGCCTTTTCTGCCATAGTGGGTTAAGGGCCTAATGTTTCTGTTGTTCACTGACATATCACTATAGTTTATGCTCATGACATTCATGGAAAATAAAGGAGATGCTGTTAAAGTGGTCGTGGTTTATGGAAAGATGAGGATACTGTTTTGATTGGGGGAATGAGAAGAGGGGAAGTAATAATATAAAAATTACTTCAGAGTGGCAGAGGGGCACTCTTTTACGTATATTTACCAAACTAATTTTTTTAATTGCCTTAAGAAGAATCTAAAGAGAAGTTAGTTTATTATTACTTTCAGATAACCTGGTAACTTACCATTAAATGAATAGAAAATAAGGACAGAATGAACATAAATAACAGCTAGGTTTGGGGAAGATTGCTTGGTGCAGAAAGAAAATTCTGTAATTTATCCCAAACTCAACTCGTTAGATTCATAGTATGATGTAATCCTTGTTTGTTACATACCATTCTGTGTAGCTAAACTTGCAAGATCTTCTTTGTCCCATAAGATGAATCATGCAACTCAAACACTTTTATTCTTAGAGCTTACAGATTATATGTAAAATGAGTATAAAATATTTACAAATAGTATACCTATAGGTATAGGGAAAAGAAGCATTTAATATTATTTTAAAGATGCTCTATAGGAGGACAGTATAGAAGTTCCTTAAAAAGCTAAAAATTGACTTACCATATGATCTAGCAATCCCACTCCTGGGCATGTATCTGGAAAAAACTCTAATTTGAAAAGATACATATATCCCAATATTCTGAGCAGTACTATAAACAATAGCCAAGACAGAGAAGCAACCTAAATGTCCATTGACAAATGATTGGATAAAGAAGATGTGGTATATATACATACAATGGAACACTACTCAGCCATAAAAAAGAATGAAATAATGCCATTTGCAGCAGCATGGTTGGACCTAGAGATTATCATACTAAGTGAAGTAAGCCCGAAAGAGAAAGAAAAATGTCATATGATATCACTTATATGTAGAATCTAAAATATGATACAAATGAACTTATTTACAAAACAGAAACAGACTCACAGACACAGAAAACAAACTTACGGTTACTAAAGAGGGAAGGGTTGGGGAGGGATAAATTAGGAGTTTGAGATTAGCAGATACCAACTACTATTTATAAAATAGATAAACAAGAAGGTCCTATTGTGTAGCACAGGGGACTATATTCAATATCCTATAATAAACCATAATGGAAAAGAATATGAAATATAACATATGTATATATATATATATATACATATATATATATACACATACATATATGTAAAACTGAGTATCTTTGTTGTACACCAGAAACTAACACATTTTAAATCAACTATACTTCAATAAAGATGTTAGTTTTTCTACAAAACAATTGTAATTAATTAATATTTAAATTTTAACTTAATTTTTTTCTAGCTCAGTCAGGAATTTACCTTGATGAAATAGTCAGAGATACAGAGATATAAATGTAGGATTATTTATTAGAGTTATTAGCAATAGTAAGCATCTAAAAAATATAAAATCTCCTGAAAAGAGAAGTAAGGTAAAATAAACTACAATATAGTTAAATGATGGATTAGTAGGTAGTCATTTGTTGTTATTTTTTCCAGGTTTATTGAAATAAAGTTGACATATAACATTGTGTGAGTTTAGTCTGTAAACGTGATGGTTTGAAATACACATAAATTGTGAAATGATTACCACAAGTTAGTTAATGCATCCACTCCCTCACCTAGATAAAACTTTTTCTGTGTGTAATGAGAATTGTTAAGATTTTGTCTTAGCAAATTTATTCTCTGTAACTCTTATTTTTCCTTTCATCATTTTATCTCATCCTTTATAACTTTTAAGAAAACTTTTCAACTTTTTTCCTACTTCACTGATTTGCTGTTTTTATGGTAGCTAATTTTATGTTTTTTGCTTTCACATAGTTTTAAATTTTCCACCAAATGTTTCCATTTATGTATAGTTTTACATGACTTTAGATACATGTTTGTTTTTTGTAGTGACTATCTGATCTAGTGTCATGGAAAAAACGTTCTCTTGAAACTTGTTCAAAACTCAAAATATTTAAAAAATATATTATCTATTCTAAGTTACTAGTTCCTGGAATTTATTTGCCAGGACATAATTAATTCTGATTCTGCAGAGTGATTTCTCATTTGAACTACACCACATACTTATGAGTTTTTATTTCTTTATCTTTACAGAAGGAAGTCCTCATGTGTCCATACTGGCAGATGAAGTGAGTTTGGTAAGAAATCCATGTCCATTGCTGTGTACTACATGCCTAGGTAAAAATGAAGATGAAATTTTACATTGTCAATTAATTTTCTAGATAAGAATTCCAGAAGCCGATGTTTGTGTGTGGTGGTAGAAAGCAGGGAGAGAAGGCACTGGTCAAAGCATTCAGGCCGAGTTGCTCTAGAGAACCTTTCTTTGTCTAGAGGAGTTTCCCTCCTTTTTTTATTTGGCTACCAGTGGTTAGGAACATGTCATCAAGTATGTTCCAGGAAACTGTGGTTCAGATGCCTCTGCCAACTTAGCCCTAAGGCCAAGAAGTTCTTCCACAGCTTCTGATAAATTCGTGTGTACGTGTGTGCGTGTTTTCATTTGAACTGCTTCATCTCTTGTTGCAGGAGCAGTTGTGTGGTCCTTCTGGGGTCTTGCTCACTCACTCCCTAGGCTTGTTAGTCTTCTTTCACCAGGACGGGAGACAGGACATGACTTATCAGACCTTCTCCTGTAGTCCTACTCATGATGAATCTGGTAGAAGTTCTAATTGAAGGTTTTTAAAAATTTGATATGTGATGACATCTTCCTATAGTTTCCATTCCTTATGTTTTGTTTTCCTATCTTTACGTTGTCTTTCTTACTTTGTGGATTGAGGGTGTTAGGAGATGTCATATTCTCTGTTATAATAACACTGGGAATTAAGTTTCAACATATAACTTTTGGGGGGTCATAAACATTCAGTCCATTGAAGAATCCGTCTGTTTATGCCAGAAAATCTGGAACAATGCAGCAACAAAAACACAAGCAATTTTTGAGCTATATCAGAATATTTTTAGCTGTTAATTCCCTAAACATCTCAAATAATGTAAATTGAGAAGTAGTTTGAAATGAGATGAATATTAGTAACTCATATTTACCGTAACATGCAACTATTACTGATTCAATTAATTTTTTTGATTTGTGAATTTACTTCTATGAAAAGTTCTTCAAAGTCATCAACATTAAATAATACTCAGTTATATGTTTAACAAATTAACTTTATTGAAAAGAGTATGATACTGTGAAATTGAGAATGTTGGGTCATTGTGCATCTAAGGATAAATCTATTTTTCTTTCTGATCTATATGATGTGAACATTTCTGACTTTAAGTGTTTTCCTTGTTACAGCCAAGTGGTTGTGGAAAGTTTACAGATGGGGATCCTCAATATGTTATCTGAGAAATATAAAGGTCCTCAGTGTTTTAAACTAGTAAGGCAGCCATTCTTTAAACAAGCTACTTCTTCAGCATTGGTGAAGTGTCTACCAGAGTTTCTGGGTGTCTTTGTGTGGATTGTCATTGAATTGCCCAGACCCCTGTCGTGACCATGGTGGTTTGCCTGAAAATCAGAGAGAAGAGGACATAATATTCTTTGTTAATCAGCAGCTTCCCTTTGTTGAGGCTGAGGACAGCTTCCATTTGTTTCCAGGACATCGTTCCTTAAACGGATGTTCTGTCCCTTCTACTTACTGCTTTGTTTGTTTGTATATTTTATGAAATGTTATAAAACTTACACAAGTAGGTTGTAGATAAACCAGAAAATAGAAATTAGCAAAAAGAAAGTGGCCCAAAATTCATCCACCTAGAAATACCAACCAATACAGAAGTACACATATTTCTACATATACCTTTTGACCAAAGTGAGATCAATACTAAAAATACTGTTTGTGATCTGCTTTAACTCATTAACATATGACATTCAATTATGTTTTGTTTTCTTTGTAACAACATTCATATTGATCAAAGAAATATTTAATTAGCATGTACTCTGTAGCAAATACCATGCTAGGTACTAGAAGACATCGCTAAAGAAGATAAAGAAGACATAGCTCCTGCCCGAACCATTTTACACTGAAGTTGGAGGAAATATAATTAACCCAATAAGGCAACGTAATATATTAAGAGCTAGAATAGAGGCAGAATACAGGTAGGATGTTTCTTCAAATGAGGGTATGTTACTCGCAGAGGGTTGTGAAGATTTTTCCAGGGACACTTGGGCACTGAGATTATTGTAAGACAATTCACTTCCAACTTCTCAGCTCTCATTTGTACTTTATTCTTCACTTGGTGTGCCCTAAAGTGGTAACAGTGTGGTCAAGGTGTGTGGGTGGGGCTGTGGTCTCTGATCTCCCGTCTCTTTTTCAGTAGGCCTTTCTTCCACCGTAGAGAAAGGTAAACATCTCTTGCACTGCAGCCTTAACAGCGTTGCTTTGTTCTGGTTGCAAAAATCTCTAGGCTTCTACGCAAAAGGACAGTCTGTAATCTTGGCATTGGTGTTGAGAAAGAGAGTAATGGTAATGTTTCCTTAAAACAGCAACAGTTTTATCTGAGAAAAGTTATTCTAAACAACAAACTGGCCATTCAGGAATGGATTTTTAATCTCCTAGCATTCCACAGAGGTAACAACTTTTCATTACTAGAACCTTATACTTTTGTTGTGGAGTAGGATAGAGGGGTCCATGAAAGTTGTTTAAGAATACAAATAATTATGTTAGGATAAAATTCTGTTCGTGATGTTGAAGGTAGTACTAGTAAAAGATAAAAAGGAATGATTTAAAACTTCTGACTAGTAAAAAAAAAGTTTATTCTTTGAATGGATGATGATTGTCAAACTGCAATGGTATTTAGATTCCATTGGGTATATTTTGAAGAATAATACAGTTGTATATGTGGTGTCAGTATTTATAATATACAGATTATTTCATCCTTTATAACTACTTAATTTGTGATGAAAAATAGATGTTATCTTAGAAATGTGTAAGGGAATGCATAGCTTTCTAAATTCTCTTCTGGTGTATGTTAAAAAAAGTATACTGTAGTATATAGTACAGTTGTTACATGAGTAGCTTCTGAAGGCATAAAAAAATAGGGTTGAGCTCTGGATCTTCTAACAGTTCTATGACTTCAAGCAAGTTGCTTAATCTTTCTAAGCCTCAGTTTCTTCATCAGTAAGTAAGTTGGTAGTATCCACTCATGAGGTTTCTATTAAATTGAATGTTTGACTGGAATGAGTTTGTTCTACCAATGGAGGTGCCAAGGGAATCACATCATTGTATTTCTTAAATATATTTAAAAAGTTAAATCTGGCTAGATGCCCAATATCAGTTCCTTTTTCGTTTAAAGATATTCTTATGGGATTGATGACATGATGAGGAGAAGCCTTTTTTCCTAGGAGTTATATAAGAATCTCATAAAAATAATGCAGTTCAGAAAACCTGGACATGGGTCTTCACTGTATCAAGACTGTTACTTGGGGTCTTTGACTTTCAAGTCCACAAGGGCATAAGGTATTTTTGCTCTTTATCTTGCCAAGAATATGCTCACATTTCTTTTGGTTTGGTTTCCAAAGTTAGGAACCTTAATGTTTAGTTTGCAAGGTATCCATGTATATCCCCTGTCCCCAGCAGAAATACTACCATACCCAAACTTGCTGTGCTGGAGATGAACATTGAACCTGGTCACTTGCTAAAGGACACGCTCATCTTTTTTTTTCCATCTCAGAGAAGGCACACTGGGATGAGCCTTTTTCTCTTCAATTCAACACCATCCATCCCTTCCTCTTCAAAGAAAATCTAGCTTAATATTCTTCCATGAATCTATAAACCGCCAAAGCTTGAGGTTTTATTTAGGGTTTCAGGTTTAGACACAAAAGTTTGGCCATCCCAGCTCTAGGGGTTTGTGCAGAAAATAGTTAACGTAGCAGGCCTGAGAGTGCAATCTTTAGAAAGGACTGTTTGCAAGGTTGGCTCTTGGCTGATGTTTGGAACTTGGATTTTGGGAGTGTTCCCACCATTCCCTACCTTATGGAAGAGTAGCTCTCTGTGCCCAATCTGTGTGTGCAAACAATATATGGTTTATGTGGACACCTGCTTTACTTCTGGGAGCCTGGAATTTTGGCAGAGGTAGAGTGTGTCTATGTGACCAGTCTCCAGTAAAAACCTTAGGAATGGACTCTCTCATGAGTGTCTCTGGTGGACAACACTGCACTTGTCATAATTCGATGCTAGAGGAATTAAGTCCTGTGTGACCCCACTGGGAGAGAACTCTTGGAAGCTTGCACCTGGTTTCCTTTGGTCTTTATCTCATGTGCTTTTCCCCTTTGCTGATTTTATTTTGTATACTTATATCAGATAGTATATTAAATAAAATATGAGATCCTTTATTAAACTATGTACTGAGTCCTATGAAACCTTCTAGTGAATCATTGAATCTAGGTGTGGTCTCAGGGACCCCCTACACAGGGAAAAATAGGAAAAATTACCTTTGACTGTTTCCTGGAATTTTTATACCAGTAATAACAGTAAAACAAAGACAAAAATTCATATCTCAATGACCTGTAGAAATTTAAGTGAAATGCCAAGTATCATTAAACTGAAACAAGTCTCCCCATGTGAAATGACCCTTGATAATTCTGCAGGTTCTCATGGTTAGTTGTTGCAATGTGGTTAGGGACGATTTTGCAGAAGAAGGGATCCTTGAGTCCATGTTTGTATCTTTTTAGAACTGCCCTCTCTGTGTAACAATAGTACCCACAAGGCTGTGTCTGTGGGATTCCAATTGAACCTGAAATCCTACTTTTTCTATAGAGCCTATCTAGATGGAAAGCTAATGCAGGCATGCTTTTAATAATTCTGGTAATTTTTCTTTTTGATATTATTGCAGTTATTTGCTGAAAACTTATGTGTGTGCGTGTATGTGTGTGTACACCTCAAAACTTCAAGAATGGGCACAGTTTTAAAAATCCATTAAATAAATAAATGGAGAACAAGAAGTTGTAAAGACAGTTTGGGACATTGTTGAATCTACGTTGTGCTTTTCTAACAAGCATGTCAGACTTCTCAAAAATAATACCAACAGAGCTGCAAGCAGGTGATTGAGTATGTGGGAAACTTACCCAAATGCCTTTATCTCTTAGTCTGAACGGAAGACATATTGCTGCATTTTGATTTTCCACATGTGCGTGGGGATATAAAATATTTAGCTTCAAGCTGGCAAAAGGTGGACAAAATAAATAAGTCACTGCCTG